TAACTACAGCCCGTCCACAAACTGCTCGTTGCTGAGCCGCCTGGTGTAAGTATCGAAGCTGAAAGAAAGCATTTGGAAATTTTAGCACAAGACTGTGATTGGAGTCAGAGTTGGAGGACCCTAGGCTCACAGAGTCCCACCGATACAGACGGATAACTACCAAATCATCCTAAATACCCCAGAACTCGATCTGAAGACTGGCAGAACATTTCCACAACTGCCGACGGAGAAGAGGCCGCGGCGTAGGTAGCACGTCTAAGACACAGAGAGGGAGAGAAACAGTGTCTGCTGTGGTGGGGAAGGAGCCAGGGCCCTGGAGAAGCACAAGAGACAGACTAGCACATGGGGAGCCCGGTGTGGGGAGACAATTCCTCATAGCTACTGGCTTGGAAAGCGGAAGGTGAGAGAGGCTGAGTTTCATGAGTTCTTGCAACCACTGGGTCTTAAAGCCTGGAGTTTTAAAGGTCAATGGGCATGGTTCCAGGAGGGCCGGGGTAGGGGCGTTGTGCTGCTCCTGGAGAGAAGGCAGAGCAAAGAGCCACGGACGTACGGCGTGGAAACCGCGAGCTGAAGAGCACCTGGGGGGCTATTGGCTCTTCTCCAGCTGTACCCCAGCATTCACAGAGACCCCTCCAGGAACAAGGGAACCAGCAGGCGCCAATTCCTACCCTGCCTCCTAACACAAGCACAGGGCCACCCGCCGGAACCAGGGCAGCAGCAATACTCCCTACCTAACTGGCTCACACCAAGCCCCACCCCGTCGTGCTCTGGTGGAACGGCCACTCCTGGTCACACTCGCCTCAGTCCTGGAGGCCTCAGTTCCCTCGGTGGTGGCGACAGGTTTTATCTCACAAGAGGACCAGAGCACACCCAGTTAAACTCGCCACATTTGCGTCAGTGCCCAACACCCAGCAGAGAGAGCCTCAGCAGAAGACTGGCCTGAAGGGTAGAGTGGCCAGGACACGACAGCAGGGCACATGCAACACACCCTGGAGCCACCTCTGGAAGTGCCAGGCCTGAGGGAGAGGGGACAGTACTCTGCCGGACACTTCTTCACAAGCCTGTTACCTTCAACAGCAGAAGACGAAGCGGACTTTCCTAACGCACAGAAGCAGGCACAGAGACTTAGACAAAATGAGAAGACAGAAAGCAATGAAGTTCAAAAAAGAGAAAAAAGAATTACACAAAACAAGAATAGACTTAGGGAATTCAGTGACTCCATCAAAAGTAATAACATTTCTGGGGCGCCTAGGTGGCTCAGTGGGTTAAGCCTCTGCCTTCGGCTCGGGTCATGATCTCAGGGTCCTGGGATCGAGACCCGCATCGGGTTCTCTGCTCAGCAGGGAGCCTGCTTCCTCCTCTCTCTCTCTGCCTGCCTCTCTGCCTGCTTGTGATCTCTCTGTGTCAAATAAATAAATAAAATCTTAAAAAAAAAAGTAGTAACATTTGTATGACAGGAATCCCAGAAGAAGAAGAGAGAAAAGGGGGCAGAGTATTTATCAGAAGAACTAATAGCTAAAAACTTCTCTAATTTGAGGAAGGAAACAGATATCCAGATCCAGGAGGCACAGAGAACCCCCAACAGAAGCAAATCCATACCAAGATATGTTGCAATTAAAATGACAGAATATAGTGATAAAGGGAAAAATCTTAAAAGCAGCAAGACAAAAAAAGATAGTCACATGCAAAAATTTTTTAAAGATCTTCTTTGCTTATTTGACAGAGTGTGAGAGAGAGAGCACAAGCAGGGGGAGCAAGAGAAGGAGAAACAGGGTCCCTCCTGAAGCGGGGCTCGATCCCAGGAGCCTGAGATCCTATGCCAAAGGCAGATACCTAACAACTGAACTGAGCCGCAGGTACCCCAGTCACATGGAAATTTTATTGCAATTCGCCTTTGCTGCAACATCCAAGCTCCTGATCATTTTCCTTTGTCCAGTGACGCTAGTGTAATACAGTGTATTGCCAGTACCCTTGCTAATAAAATACATCGTCTTTTGTAGAAATATCAGCCCATCACAGCTTGGAGACTGAAAGACGGGCTGCTTAGCAGAAACCCTTTCAGACCCTGGCATTTTCTGCCCAAGTAGCCCTGAGCCCACTGCCCGGGTCCCTGCCTGGACCTATGCTGTCCTCAGGTGGGCAGCCTCTCGGTCAGAGTGCACACTGGCCCCACCGGGGTGGGAGGTGCGGGCTACTGGAGCCTGGACTTGTGAGCTCGGGTGTCGGCTTGTGTGCACACAGGTCTCTCCCAGTGCAGAAGAGAGAGGGGACGGGGGAGGAGATGGGAAGAAAAGAGCACAGACTGAGGGTCGGGAAGCCATGGGTGGCAAGTTCTAAATACAAACCTGGCCTTCCAAACTGTTGAGAAGATACACCTGTCAGGGCGCTGGAGGGCTTGGTCAGTGAAGCCTCTGCCTTCAGCTCGGATCACCATCCCAGGGTCCTGGGATCCAGTCCTGCATCGGGTTCCCTGCTCAGCCGGGAGCCTGCTTCTCCCTCTGTCCTTCCGCACTGCTCGTGCTCTCTCTCTCTCTCAAGTAAATAACTAAAATCTTAAAAAAGAAGAAGAAGAAGAAGAAGAAGAAGAACCATCTATTAAGATAGGGGATAGACCCTACTCTAACATCTGTTAGCCTGAACCCTTAAGTCCCTCAGTACTTACGCAAGTGGTGTGCGGACCTCCTTGTGTCATTCGCCCCAGCCCCACCATGCCCCAGGCCGGCCCACCCCGAGTGCCCCAGGACAAGCTGCTAGGAGCCCACGGGCCCCAGACAGGCACCCCAGCGACTTACCGCCCAATTTCAAGGGGCTCCTGAGCCAATGTGGTTAAGAGCCATCAGCTGGGGGGGCGCCTGGGTCAGTCAAGTGTCCAACTCTGGATTTCAGCTCAGGTCATGGTCTTGGGGTCATGAGATGAGGCCCCACACAGTCGGCTTGTCCCTTTCCCTGCCCCTCCCCTCGTGCACTCACACTCTCTATATGGGTATCTAAAATAAATATAAAAATCTAAAAAAAAAAACAACTCTCAGTCAAGAGGCGGCAGAACACCTGATGGGACAAGTTGGCGCCTTCTAGTGTCCTAGTTCCAGAGTCAGGGTCAGGGCTGTCGCTTCTTGGGTGGGGTTGGACCAAGAGAGTGGCCGTCATGGGTGGCTGAGGTCCCCTGTCATCTCCCTGTGTCCGTTCTGTCTTCACAGAGCGGTTTCTGCTTTGCTGGGAGTCGGCGCTTCTCCTCCAGGAGAGACCCCAGCTCCAGCTCCTGCAAACCCAGCTTGCGGGGCCCCTTTCCTGCCCCGGGAGCTGCCGGAGTCCTCCTGACCCCAGCCAGGGCCCTGCATCTGTGGTCCTTTCCTTTCCCCGGCAGCCCCCTCCTCACCCCTGCAGGACCTCAGTGAACCCAGAGTCCCACGCGCCTCCTTCCCATACTCGGGCTCACGCAAGCCATCACGGGGCCCCGGGGGACAGAGAAAGTGTCCTTCCCAATGTGTCTCAGGGCCCCCAGTCATAGCAGGGTGGACAATCTCTGCAGACTCTCAGGCCCAGGAAGACCTCGGGAGGGAGATCGGCCCCTCCCTTCGGCTCCAGAGGGACGGGGCCGGGTCTCTCCCAATGGAGGGTCCCCTGAAGTGGAGGCCACGCCCCCCCCACCCATCCTGGGTCGTCGTCAGGGACCCGCTCCCGCTGGCATGGAGGGGCTGGAGCCACCGCCCGCCTCTCCCCATCCCCTGGCAGGGCCCGGCCGGCCTGAGTGCGGCGCCTTCCCCGCAGAAGGGTCTGTTTTGAGTCTCCTCTGGGCGTGCACGGGGCTGCCGCGACCCGGCCTGGGTCACAGGCCCCGCAGCAGCGGCCAGGACCCCGTGCTCGTACTCACTCCGTGCGCCATCAGGCGTGCGGCCACCTTCCTTGGGGACCTGCGTGGTGCCCGGTGCGGGCGGCCTGAGGACAGCGCGCCCCTCACTGCGGGGTGGGGGGGGGCCTGCGGCAAGACGAGCCAAGTTGAGGAAAATAATGTCCCGTGTGGGGCGTGTTGAGTGAGAGGAGCTGGGGGGTCCGACCGAGAGCTGAGCGCAGAGGCCCGGGCTGTGCCGGGGGGGGGACAGAAGTCCGTCTGGAGCTGGACGACGACGGTGACTCTCTCACTTAAGGACCTGGAATAAACCAAGGAGCTCAGAGCCCAGAGGAGCACTGGCGGAGAGGAAGCGCCTCCAGGACCTTAGAAGCAGGGGTGAAACCACACAGAGGAGGAGGAGGGGGAGGTGGAGGCCAAGTCGGGGGCAAGTAAGCTCAGGCCTGGAAAGGTCCAGGGGTCACGTGGAGGTCAAAGGTGATCCCAGGGAGGCATTTGGGGGGCGCCTGGGCGGCACTGTTAAGCTCAGCCTTCAGCTCCGGCAAGTTCTCCCGAGGAGGGGGCGTCCTCTGTCTGCCGTCTCCCCTCCCGACTTCACACCTGCTCAGAACTCGGAGAAGACGGTCACCGTGACAGGAAGGGCTGCTTAGGTCAGCGGGGAACCGAGGGCTGCTCCCAGCACACCCGGGACACAGCCTCCCCTGCTCTGCTCCCGCCAGAAACCTCCCTTCGTCTGGGAATCTCAGACTGGGTCTACACCTTGGCTCCTTCATGCTCACTTCTGTGAAAAGCCAGGAAGACGGAGGCTAGGAGGCCGGTGCCCGTGGGAAAAACAAGACGTCGGGGTACAGAAGAATCAACACATATTTACCTGGTTCTTTCCCTCCCCCAGCTACCACGCGCTAGGAACGTGTAGGCGGCCTATTTGAAAAGCCGATGGTTCCAGGCCCTGAGTGCCCAGCCTGGGCGCACACGGGGGCCCCGGTCTGCCCACGGCCCCGTCCGCCGAGACTCAGTCCCAAGACAGGTGCGAGACCACCCGGACTCCGCTTCCTCCCCTCAGCACAGATCCACCCACTGAATTCTGTTTAGGAAAGTCTTTGCGTTTACCACCAGCCTCGATTAAAGATTAGAAAAGAGACAAACTACACACTTCTCAGAAATTGGGATTTTATAAAAGGCATTTTTTTCTCTTATGTCCATAAAATGATATAATTCTTGCAAGTATAGAAATGTGTCATAAATTATACAGAATGTTCCTTAATTACAGCTCAATGCAACTTGGTACTGCTTCCCTCCCTAAAAAAACGAGAGAGAACCAAAAAAATAATATATATATAACTGTATATATATATATATATATATATATATATATTTATATAATATAGACAAATCAAATATGAAAAAAAAATCATCTCCTCTTTGGTATAAAAATCAGACTCTCACCTTGAGAGACACACAAACAGACATGATGTTGGGTTTGTAAACTGTGTGGCCAAAAGGGATTTCCCTGTTAAGCTTCCCCTCCCCTTGGTCCCTGCCCAGCCCACCTCCCTTGTGGCTGCCACACTGAATGAGACCTAAGGGCCCCTCCCAACTCCACACCAGCCCTCAGCAACCCCTCCACTACCTGGACTGAACTGGGAGCAACTACCCCAGAAGCCCGATTTGGGGTGTGGCTGGTGGGAAGGAAGGACAGGCACGCCCAGGCCCAGCCAGGCACCGCTGCCCCCAGCTGGCTGGTCCAGCCCTCCTACTCCTCCACACCTCTTGCCAGACGCTGGGCCTAGAGGGGAGGGACCCCCATGTACAAGAAGGGAGAAGCAGAGGTCAACTTCCCCTTTCAGACCCGTCTCTGGTTCCAGGTGTAGATGCAGGAAAATGCCAGATGATGTGAGAGGAAGACAGGCAGGACTCTGCTAACGAACTCAGATCAAAATTTAAAATGACAGAAATCTTTTTCTGGACATCTCACATCGGCCTTAGGTCAGAGATGACAGGACCGTGCACCCGGGCTCAGCCCGACACCAGCAGGAGTTACGGACCAGGGACAGACACGTGTGTTGGGGGAGGAAGGAGCACTTCCCTCTCAAGATGCGGAAGGAGACGGCACCAAATCCTCCTCCGTGCTCTGCACACCCCTCGGGCAGACGGGTGCCTTCCTCCCTGAGCGGTGGTTCCTGCGGATCCCCCCCAACCCAGCCAGCCAGGGCACCCCTGGGGGCCGGCCTCCTGTTCCCACAACACAGAAGTCACTCAGTAACCCCCTCTCCTGCCAAATAAGAAACACAAACCCAAACTGGACACAAACACAAATCAAGGAGAGACACACACAACGTGCAGGGCCCGTGGGCCGCAGCAGATCTCTGGCTTCCCGGCGTGATACATTCTTGTGTAATTCAGGAACAGAGGCTCTCGGCCCCCTCTGGGGAGTGGGAGTAAAAAAATACAGAGATTATAGTCTGCCTGCGGGATCCACGCAGGGCTGGGGCAGACCCAATCTCAACTTCTTCAGGTTTTGGTTCCACGTCGGACCCTTCCCTGGGGCGCCCGCTCGGAGGCCCCGCCCCCACCCCGCGCCCCGCACCTGTCCGCAGGTGCCGGCCGCAGGTGCCCGCGGGCAGGACGGAGCCCGCAGGGAGGGTGTGGGGCGCCCCGGGAGCAGCCCTCAGCCCTTGAGGGGCTTGTCAGGCCCCGCGCTGGGGCTGCCCGCGCTGTCGCTCTTCTTGCGCCGCAGGCTCTCGAGCCAGCTAGAGCTAGAGCGCGTGGTGAAGCCGGCCAGCGCCAGGGAGCTGAGCCGCATGTTCTTGCCCGACATGATGAGCTCCCCGAAGCCTTCCTGGTGCGAGAAGGCGTAGCCTGACCGGCGGGAGCTGGTGCGGCCCACGCGGCGCAGGCAGCGGTGCTGGGCCTTCTGCTTCTTCCTCACCAGCTGGCTGTAACGCACCTGGGCAGTGCAGGGAGGGGCCGGGTTGGTGACAGCCTCGGTGTCGCAGGCAAGGGACCCTGCACACGAGGGACACCACCCCCCACGCCCCCAGCCCCGGGCGTGAGGAACCCAGAGCTTCCGGGATGCAAGGCTGCACGGCGGGGGGGGGGGGGGTCTGTCCCAAGAGACAGCAGGGGAGCGCCACCCCACACGCCACCCACGCACGCGTTCCCTCCACAGGGCTCCCTGTCCCGCCCCAGTCCCCCAGAGCACGTGGCCAGCGGCTCACCGTGTCTGAGAGACCCGGCTTCAGGCTCAGCTTGAGGAATCGGAAGGCGACCACGGGCATGACGCAGACAGCCGTGGTGAGCGCGATGGTTAGCCACACCGTGGGCTGCGCCAGAGTGTTCTGGGCATTGCCTGGAGACACAAGCAGCCGGCGGCCTGGGGTCACCCAGAGACAAGGGGCAGCCCTGCTGGCCCCTCTCAGCTCCGGAGTCCTCCCTGCTCCCCAACTCTGCTGCAGGGACCTTCCCCCACAGCCCTCCTCTGCAGCTGGGACCTCCCCTCCACACCCTCCTCTGCTGGGGAAACCCCCAGGCAAGCCCCCTTAGGACTCCTCTACCAGTCCCTCCTCCAGGCTCACTGCCCCCCTTTGTTCAGATTTCTCTGTGCCAACGTCGTCTTTTCAAGGGGTCTTCCCTGACTACTTTCTCTCTCTCTACCCTGCTTGATTTTTTCCCTAAGACTCATTAATTCTAGACGTTCCATTCTGCTAACTTGTAAACTGTCTCACGGAAACATGAAGCCCAGGAGAGTGAGGACTGTGCCTGTCGTCCGCTGCCGCCCCCTCAGCGCTTGGGACCATCAGTGGTACAGAGCAGGTGCCGGCTGAACAGTGGCGAAGAACAGATCGGAACTGACGCACCCCTGCACCCGTCCTTCCCGTCGTGCCTCCTGAGCAGCCCCTCTCTGCTTCCGCCACCCCGCCCATCCAGACGCCAGGCGTCAGTCACTAAGGTAGCTCCTCACTGGCCGCCAGACTCCTCTCTCTGAAGTAACCCTATAACGCCACTCCCCCTCTCCCTCCTCAAAAAAGAGACTCCCACTGGAATAAATCAGGACCCAACAGCCCAGTGTTGGTGCCTCCAACGTCCTTTCTACCTTTCCAACCTCTCACCTGCCCCGTCTACACTTCCGGCTCCCCGGCGTGGAGTGGGCCTCACAGCAGCCTCCCCTGTGGACTGTCCCCCGCCAAGTCCCCCCCGACAGTCACCTGCTGATCATGAGGAGGTCCGCCCTCCCTTTGAGCCCGACCCCCCACGGCCTGGATACGGAGGCCCGCTGAGGCCCGGCCCGCGTCAGAGACGGCCCAATGTGCCCCCAGCCGCTTGCCGGGCACCCGGCGCACGGGGCCAGCATTCCCAGTGTTCCCGCGGTGCTTGTGGGGCGCCCGCCCCGTCCGTGGGGAGCCGCTGCAGGGACGCACCCACAAACCGGAACTGGTTCGGAAACATGTCGAAGAGCCCGTTGCTGTGCATGGCAAAGAGGATGGCGAAGTAGACGGCCAGGCTGCCCCAGATGAAGAAGTGGTTGATGGCTGTCCAGTAGCCGGTGTCCAGCCCGATCTGAGGAGGACATGGTCACAGGCAGGAAGAGCGATCCCCCCACCCGCCCGCCTGCCCCAGTCTGGCCGGCCTCATACCTGCACGCTGACCACAATGACCAGGGACGTGGCCACGGTGACGGCGAATGACTGGTAATCGGCCAGCTGGGAGCCGTCGTCCCGCGTGGCCTCGGCGAACACCCCATACGGTATGAAGAACGTGAGCACGGACGTGTAGATGCCCTGCGCAATGCAGATGAAGAACTCCCGTTTGTTGAAGAGGAGGTTCAGCTGGCCCGGCTCGTAGAGCTTGGGGTACTCCATGCTCCGCTGCTCCGGGACGTCCTGGGCGGGGACCACAGGGGCCTCAGGACACCGAGGGCAGACCCCGTCCAGCTTCCTCCCTTCCAGAGTCTCTGACAGCTAGACCCCACTCCACCCCCCGTCCAGGAAAGTCCCAGGGCGGCGGTAGCCGGGCGGGAGCAGAGCCGTCCCAGCGCCCGCCCCGGCCCCCCTGCCCTCACCTGGTCGAAGACCCCCATGGCTAGGACTGGGAGGGAGGTGTACACAATGTTGTAAAGAGTGATAAAATACTGATCATAGACGGTCTGGGAAGAGAACATAGAACAAGAGAGGGTGAGCACACGCTCTTCCCCACAGACTGGGCAGGGAGAGACGGCTAAGCGGGGCCTCGGGAATCCTCTGGAGCCCGTCTCTACACCCTGAACAAGTGTTCATTTGTTCTCATTCTATTTTCTTTAAGTAGACGCCACACCCAGTGTGGGGCTAGAACTCACAACCCGAGACTGAAAGTCGCAGGACTAGGAGCCCCTGGATACGTGTTTTCTTAACGCACAATCCAGACAACGCTGGGCCCCAGAGGGTGACGCTGCACAGAGGACAGCTGCCCCGACAGAGCTCACAGACGGGACGCAGCGGGCCACGGGCGCCCTACCTGGGCGGAGAAGCCGCAGAAGAAGCCAAACCAGAAGTGGACCATGGTGAAGGCGAAGTTCTTGTAGAAGAAATAGCAGAGGAACTTGCACATGCGCAGGTAGGACCAGCGGCCGTGCACCAGCAGGAGGCGCTGCAGGAACTTGAACTGGGAGAAGGCGTAGTCTGAGGCCAACACAGCCTGGATGCCCTCCTGGCCGCTGATGCCCACGCCGATGTGAGCCGCTACGGGGACAGGTGGTGGCAAGAGGAAGCAGAGGGTCACACACTCGGAACCCCAGCAGGCTGGAGCCCCTCCCCCACACACATCCATACCCACTCTTGATCATGCTGACATCATTGGCTCCATCCCCGATGGCCAGCGTCACAGCTTTCTTGTGTTTCTTAACCAACTCCACCACCTGTGCCTTCTGCAAAGGGGTCACGCGGCAGCAGATGACGGCCCTGCAGGCACAGGCCGTCTCCAGGAACTCCAGCTCCATGTCCGCCTCCAACGCGTGGGCCTGGAACACAGAGCCTGAGAGAGCCCCCTCTCCCCTGGGCAGACCGGGAGTCGCGCTGAGGTCAGGGGACTGAGAGCGAGGTGGGATGGACCAGCCACGCGAAGAGCAGGGCTCCCGGCAGGACGCTCACCAAGCTGTGCCCACTGATGACCAGGGCGTACTCCCCGGCAACGGCCTCCAGGACAGAAGGGAGCTTGGCAGACGGACGCTTCTCCGGGCAGGTGAAGCCATTCCCCACCGCGTGGGGCGAGTCCAGCATCTTCTCCCGGGCTTTTCTGGGGAGGGGAAAGGCACCCGTGGGCTCCAGCACAGAAGCAGGGACTGCAAGGGCAGGACACCTTCCGCCTTAGCCTGCGTCTACCTGAGCTCCTCCCGCACTTCCAGGACGGTGTGGCCAGTGACGATGAACACCTCCGTCATGTCGTCCGTCAACATCTTGCAGGAATAGCCGATGTTCACGGCCGTTTCTACAACAGAGACCAAGGAGCTCGGCACGCTCTCCAGCCTGAGGTCTAGGCTCACGCAAGGGCCCGACAGGGCACTGGGAACCGGGCTCTCACCTTGCTTATCCCCAGTCAGCACCCAGATCTTGATGTTGGCCAACGTCAGGAGGGCGATGGTCTCCGGCACCCCCTGCTGAAGCTTGTCCTCGATGGCTGTCGCACCCAGCAGCTGAAAATACCACAAGGGTTCTGGACAGGAGAGTCCCAGCACAAGCCCCCCGGGCCCCCCTCGGCCCACTGTACAGCCCGTACCACCATGTCGCTCTCCACCTCCTCGTACACGCTGGCCAGCCTGTCCTCCCGGCTGTCCTGGGCCAGGCTGGCCTGGAGCCGTCTCTGGGCCCAGCCCCCGTAGTACTCTTCGTCCAGGTCCTTGTACGCCAGGACCAGGGTCCGCAGCCCTTCCCCGGCGTACTCCTGGGGACAGAGCCAAAAGGGTCAGCTGGCCCCTCCTCACCCACGACGCAAGCCCCGCACCACAGGGCCCGTCCAGACACCTACATTCAGGTGGTCCGTGGTGGTGCTGAGCAGCTCCTGGGGGGAGGGGTGCAACCTGTCCAGCAGGATCGTGTCGGCCCCTTTACAGTAGAGTCGGATCCTCCCTTCTGGATTCCGCACTACGATCGGGGCAGGGGAGATAGTCCCAGAAGGACTCAGGCAGGCCAAGACCCCCAACTGACCTCATCAGCCAGGGCCCTCAGCACCCCTCCCCCGCCCCAGCCCTGCCCCAGCCTCACCGATGACGGACATCCGCTTGCGGATGTTATTGAAGTCCAGGATGGCCAACAGCTGGTAGGTGACGGCTGTGCCCATCTCGTGCACGGTGATGGTTTTGGGAGTGCGAGAGCGGAACACAAAACCGAAGTTCCTGGCCGCGGTGACCAAGGCACCCTCGTCCGGGGACTGTGCCTTGTAGTATAGCTCGCCTGGGAGGGCAGCAAGAGCACAGGGTCTAAGTGGCCACCCCGGCCGTGACCTGCCCATGAAGGCCTGCCTGGCCGCACCCCAGAGCAGACCCAAGGTCCGCCATCGGGCCAGGAGAGCACGAGGCAGGCAGGGGCTCACCTTCGTTCTTCTCTTCAGACATGACGGTGTGACACAGAGAAAGGAGGCGGAAGAACTCGTGCGCATGGGGGTCGCCCGTCTTGACGGCCTCCAGGAGGCTGGGGTCCCAGAAGACGAACTTCTTGTCGGCCAGAGGATTGAAGGAGAAGTCCACAGGCTCTGGCCTCTAGGGCAGGAGGAGGGCCATGAGCTGAGGGCGGCCGTCAGGCTGCACCCCAGCCCCGCCATCCCCACCCCGCTGTTTCCTGCTCTTTTGCAGCCCTTGACCCCACCCGCCACGGACCCCAAGTCACCCTCCTGCTCCCGAGTCTTCCTGAACACACCCACCTCTCCCAGCAGTCTCCACCCCGGGCCCAGAGCACCCCGTCCTCACTGGACCCACAGTGACTGGGCTTACCTCTCCCAATTCGGCTTTGTGTCCCAGGACATCGAACACGTCCCCTACACGCACAAGACAGAAGATGAAGGCGCATCAGCACTAGGAGCCACGGACGAAGGGCGCCAGCGCAGAACCCACAGGCACCTGGAGCCCTCGTCGAGCGCCGCGGCCCCAGCACGCCCCTTCCGCTCTCCTGCCAGGCCCCCAGCCCCCCCAGATGCCTTTCACCCCACAGGCCGAACAACGGGCAAACCCCACACACAAACCACAGGCCCGGGTTAGTAGAGAAAGCGGTGAGCCCCACACACCCCCTGACCCAGGTCACCCCGGGGCCCGGCCACGAGCCCATGGCAGCAAGGCCACGCTGGGGACCACAGTCGCATTCCAGAGACGCAAGAGGGCCCAGGATGCAGCATGGGAAGGGCCGAGCACTCCATCGCCACCCCATATCTGCGGCCCGACCCGGGGCACAAGGCAGACGCTCCCCCGCTCTGCCCCCCCGCCCCACAGGTCCATGCAGGGAGGCAGCCAAGCCCGTGTCCAGACGGCAGCGGCGGCGGGGAGCCCCGGCGCGGCCCTACCATAGCTGCGGCCACTGACGGAGCACTTGCTGAAGACCATGATGTTCTGCGTGAGCGTGCCCGTCTTGTCGGAGAAGACGTACTCCACCTGGCCCAGCTCCTCGCTCAGGGTGGTGGTGCGGGCCTCTGCGGGCGTCCGCTTCTTAGCGCAGAACATCTTCTTGTCCCAGTTGATGAAGTAGCTGTGGCCCAGGCGGATGACCTCCACGCTACACGGGGGACAGGAGGTCAGGCTCGGGCAGGGAGCCACGGACGGGACCCACCCGCACGGGCCTCCGCGGCAGGCCCTCCCCCGCCTGGGGGCAGACAGGACGGACGGACGGACACCTGGGCACAGAACCTGGGAGGGAAGGGCAAGGAGAACCTGAAAGTGGAGCCGGCCACTCACTGTGGCCGCCAGGAGCTCCCTGACCCCGACCCTGTGATGCTCTCCAGACAAGAGGGGGCAAAGGGCCTGGGCAGGTGGGGCACACAGCACAGGCGGAGGAGGAAGGGACTGCAGACAAGGCGCTCGGCCAGCTCTTACCTCAGGACTAATTACACAGAAACCATGCAGAGAAAACAAGAGAAAGCGTGTGAGGGAGGGATGAGTAAGACACGGCGAGGGCACAGGCCCCCATTGCCGGCCGCAAGCACTGTCCTTCCTCCACCGTCTCGCGCGCCACCGCTCTGGCCTGGCGACCCCGGCAGGGTGCCCTCCACCAGGTCCGACACGGACCGTCGGCCCCCCCACGCAGGGGACCGAGCCGGGGGGCGCCGCTGGAGCCCTGTGTGGCCTGACCGAGGACCCCAGCCGGCCAGAGGGGTCTTCTCAGCCTTTTCCCCGAGGAGCGGCTCTCGCCCCCCGCACAGCCCGGAGCCCGAGCAGAAAGTGAGAGGCTTTCCTGGCAGCCACCACGGACGCCTTCCTGGCAGCCACCACGGACGCCGGGGGCAGGGACGAAGCTCAGACAGAAGCCTAGCGTGGGGACGGGCCAGACGTAAACAGAAAAGCGCCTAAGCAGGCCTGAGGGAGCAGCGGCGGCCGGGACGTGGCCCCCACCCCGCTGTCTCATCCTAATGCGCATCTCGTGTCAACGCACCTCAACGCATGGGGAAGAAGGTGGGACGGGGCTGTTCCCACATTACATGCGGAAACCGAGACCCCCAGCGGCCGGGAGCCTCCTGTCCGTGTTCTAGAAAAGCCCAAGTCTTGGCACAGAAACGCCGTCGGCACCAGGACTCAGGGGAGAGCACCCGGGGCGTGAGTGTCAAGGAAACAGGCCGGGCCCTTGGGAAGAGCCCCCCGCCTCCAGACAGGCTTTTCTTGCACAGGTCTCGCGCCCTTGCCCCCAAGGGCAAGGCCTTAGCACGTGGAAGTTTCTTTCTTCCGACTATCTTCCTGCAGCCTTCTCCCGGCCGGCGCTGTTCACACGCTCCGGGCCTCAAGCATCCCCGATGTGCCCGAGCTCCTACTCGCCGCGCTCCGCCGCCAGCCAAGGCTTCAGACCCGTTCCTGGGACTCTTTTCTAAGGACTCTCAGTGTTTACTAAGGACTGACAAAGCGTCAAGACCCTCTGTCAGGAACCAGGTCAGCGGGAACCCGGTCCTGCCCTGTGCTGCTGCCAGAAGGTGACCTTTCTGAGGGTCGCGCCTCCAAGCCTCTGTGCCTGTTCTCTCCCCCAGGCCCCCCTGCACCCGCCAGCCCCCTCTTCAGAGAGGCCCTCCCTGATGAATGGCCCAGGGGCTGAGGCTCCTCACCCCTGTGCTGTCACAGTGGGGCCGCGGGGTCTCGGCGTCTCGCACCCCCTCCCAGCCTGCGGCTCCCGAGGCAGACACAGGGTTGCACACCTGCGTCCCCTGTGCTCACACTCACTGCAGGGGGAGGGACTCCCATAGCACTCACTCCCGTTTCGTTTCAGAAGGCATTTAGATTTTTCTCTCTACGCGACTGAAGCTCCTGCAGGGCACGGGGTCTGTCCCTAACATGTCTCTGTGGCGTGCATGGCCGAAGTCAGCATGCGGGCAACCCGTGCCGGATAAATCGGGCTCTTTCTGTCACGACCATCCAAAGTGCCCGAAAACGGTGACAAAGCTTGCTCCGCACACAAAGGTAAACAGCTAACAAGATGCTCGAGGCACAAGGAGCTCCAGGTTCCTTCCCCAAGGGTCCACCTTCACCGAGAGTCTGCCGAGGGACCGCCCGAGCTTCCCGGGAGACCCAGGCAGAGCGAGCACCTACCTGACATAGAGCGATATGGGCACAACGGTGTTGAGGATGATGATGTAGGACCAGAAGGAGAGGAAGCCAGAGAAGAAGGCACTGTCCACCGCCTCGTCCCAGGGCAGGTAGGCCTGGAAGCGTGTCCCGACCTCATGCTCCCAGATGGCGTTGCCGATGGCCAGGATCACCCCCATGCAGACCAGGAACCCGAAAATCTGGTGAGGAACAGGAAACAGGCGATGTGGCAACTCAGGAGGCCCCCAAAATCAAGTGCATCCCTGAAGGTCACGGCCCATACCCCAAACCCTCAAAGGCTCAGGCATCTTTAAAACGGCGCCACGCTCGCCCGAGAAGCACCCAGGACTGCTGAGAGCACGTGGTCCGCCAACCGTCACATGGTCCTGTCTCTGAGCACCTGTGTCCACTGTGTGATGAGGGAGCCCTTCCCGGACGGTCAGAGGGTGCGAGCACACTCCTCTCCCCGGGGCGCTCACGGCAAATCACCCATCTACTTGAACTAGCTCCCCCGGACAGGAGACAACGCCAGGCTTCTGCGATGTTCATTATCTCATACAGATCGCCAGAAAAGTTTTTAACCAGGGAGACAAATTTTATCTTCATAAATTAGATTTGAAAGCAAAAAAGTTTAAAGATTGTAAAAGATCGGGCGTCTGGCTGGCTCAGTCCATGCAGCATCTGCCTTAGGCTCAGTCATGATCCTGGGGTCCTGGGATTGAGCCCCACAGTGGGCTCCCTGCGGGGAGCCTGCTTCTCCCTCCACCTCCTGCTCCCATTTGTGTTCATTTTCTCTCATGCGCCCTCTCCCTCTCAAATAAATGAAATAATGAATAAAATAAATCTTGCAGTCCCTGAAGCAGGACCATAAGAAAATCCTGGCGGTTAAAAGAAAAAAGAGACCACTGTCTGATTTCAGACATCTGTTTCCAAAGCTATGCTCACCATCCATGCTCTGGAACCCAACAGGAACGACCCAGGTGCCCAAGGACTGCCAGGGGGGCAATGCGAGCCCTCGTGTGAGACTTAACCACTCTCTGGGGTGAGGTTTGGCAAACCCTTTAAGGCCGGGGCGGACCGGCTCTGCAGAGGCCGGTCCAACCTTTGCAAGCTGGCGTGTGGGGGCTGGGAGCAGGCAGCGGGGGCGCCAAGAAGGGGAGGAGAGCCCAACAAGGACCTCCAATTTCCAGGCAAACAAGACAAGAATTCAGGAATGGCCAGAAACTAAAACAGTAACTTTTCCTTTGGGATCCTCCACTCTGAGACGTCAGGGGAAAGACCCGTTCATTATCCAGCCACCAAATGGAAATTTTTCGTTTAACTCCTTTTCCATCCCTGTGAAGGGCTCCTTGTCCCCGGCAAACGCAAACAGAAGTGGACACGCTGTGCTAAGTCGCCACTGTAACTGGAACCTCGAGAAGGGAAGACCTGTTTCAGCTCTGTCCACCCCTGATTCACTCAGGTCCCTAAGGTTCTTGTAAATAACGTCTTCCCTGCCCAAAGAGAGCAGAAAGGAGCCTCTGAGCAGGGAGGAGAGGTGGGAGCAAGGGCGGGGGGGGGGGGGGGGGGGGGGGGGGGGGGGGCCCCCCGGGGGCCGGGGGGGGCCGCGGGGAGGAGCCTTACCCAGAGCACCAGTGTATTCATCAGGCGATCGATGCTCGTTCTCTTGAACTTGGTCCTGCCGCTGTTCTGCATCAGCTTTGTGTCGGGGCCTGGAAAGGAAGGGAAGACGGGGGAAGCCAAGGGAGCAACGGGCCGCCTGGGCCAGGGCGAGGAGCACTGCGAGCTGGAGAGAGGAGGGCTGCGGGCGGGGAGGCTCCGGCCCATGAAGGCTCTGCCCCCCACCTGGAGTCCAGAGAGCTGGGGGGCGCGGCGGCGGGGGGGGGGGGGGGGGTCGCACTCAGGTTCCGTCCTCCGGCCAGAGGCTCGGTGTTATGCGGGCCCGCCACCCCTCCTCTCCCCTCCCCCACCCCTTCTCCCCCTCCCCGCCCGCTCCCGCCCACTCCCTGCCAGCCTCCCCGCCCGCCGCCGCGCAGGCTCACCCGCAAACACCACCAGGCCGAAGCACCACTCCGTGTTGCGCAGCACGCAGCCGCGCAGCAGCATGTTCTGGTTGCTCAGCGGAATCTTGCTCTCCTTCCAGTACAGGGTCCCGCTGAACCTGTCCAGCTTGTTGTTGGGCGGCTCGCAGACCACCTCCCCTGCGCAGACACAGAGCGGACACGCGGCTGCGGGAGGTGGCCGGGAGTAACTCGTGGCCAGGAGCATGGGGGGGGGGCGCAGGAGCGCGGGCGCGTGGGACAAGGTCGCTCGCGCACTCCGGCCTAGGGACCCCACGGGGGGGCCCAACTCTACAGAAGTGACAGCACAGGTCCCCACAGGTTTACTGAAGCCGCCACTGAACAGTGAAAAACCAAAAACCAGAAGCAACTGCGCGGTGGAGGCATGGCCCAGTGAGGCGGCCGAGGAAGGAAGCCAGTCTCTGGGAACTGCCAGGCGCCCACGTGCCTGAAGGACGCAGCAGGTAAGGAGAGGCCTGTGCGGGGACTTGAGGGCCACAGGGCCCCACTGCTTTGTGCTTGGGTTTGTGCAAACACAGAGCATGCAAGGACACCCACTGAAGGGGCTGTGCACCTGGCCCAAGGGTGAAACTGGGGTGCAGGAGGCTCGCTTCTCACACAGAACATGGTTTCTTCCTCTAGCAAAGGAGCAAACATCATCAACCAGGACCAAATGAGAATGAACTGAATTTCTCTCTACACACACAGCCAGGAGGGAGCTAGCGGCTGTGAACTCAAGCAGACGGGGGCCACCCTGCACTGCTGACACTCCCCCACGAAGAAAGATCTGGGGAGCCGCAGCCCAGTGAAAAGGAGCCGGTGCAACTGAAACCCCAAAACCCGCCCCACTTCCTCCACCCAAAAGTCACTTCTCCAAAGTCACTCACCATCAAATTTGGCGAGCCTACTGATGTCTCCCAACTCTGAGGTGACTGGGATCGCCTGGCGCACTTTCATGTTGGTCTCCCTAGAAGGACAGTGTCCCTAAGTTCTGGTTCCCATCCCTTCCTCCAGATTCTACCTGGGAGCACCTGACCTCCGGGCATCACCCACCTCCATATACCCGAAACTCTTCTGATTCCTAAAAATTGTCCAAAGGGTATAGACCCCAGACCTGGGAATCTATTCCAAAAAACAAGCTTTTTACCCTTAAGGAGGCAGGAGATGAGTGGCGCTGGGCATCTGACCTACCCGTCGAGTTCTGCTGTCTCTATGTAACACAGGCCATGGGGCTCACTGCTGGAAAGGAGGAGGAGATCCGCCTAGAGAGAAAATCCAGTGAGGAGCCCAAAGGCCCAACCCTCCACTTGCGATGCACTCTTTGCTGATCCCTACTTCCCCTGAGCCTTCTTGGTTTGCTTAGTCCCAAGCGTGATGGCTAGAAGATGCCAGTCCCAGGCATATTAATATGACACAGAAGCTCCCCACTCAGGGAGCTCCGGGAGCACTGTCGGTTAAGCTCCGACGCTTCATGATCCCAGTGTCCTGGGACCGAGCCCTGCATGGGGCTCTCTGCTCAGGGGGGAGCCTGCTTCCTCCTCTCTCTGCCTGCCTCTCTGCCTACTTGTGATCTCTGTCAAATAAACGAATAAAATCTTTAAAAAAAAAAAGCGTCTGACCCTTGATTTCGGCTCAGGTTGTGATCTCAGGGTTGTGATCTCGAGCCCCATGGTGGGCTCTGCACTGGGTGTGGGCCCCGCTGAGGATTCGCCCTCTGCCCCTCCTCCCACCATTCACACAGGCACGCACACATGCGCTCTCCCTCAAAAAATAAATAAATAAAACATATGGGGGAAAAAAGCTCCACCCAAGGAAGTTCAATCCATGCGTGATTACGAGGCTGCAAGAAATTAGGAAAGACTCATTTCTATCTGCCAATGAAAACGGAAGAGACATGCAGCCCTAGAGGGCCACCTTGTCCCTTACCGCCACAAACTGATTATTTTCCAGCTTGATGATATCACCAACACAGACGTTCATCCACGGCTCTTGCTGGAGGCTGAGGCAATGAGAGGTCAGGAGAGGCTGTCAGTAGCGAGAGAAGTTCCTGGGGAGCCCCTCCTCCTGAAGGCCCTCGGTCCCCACCAGGCACTCACCTCCCGCGGATCAGCACTTGGGATTGCCGGTTATTCACCTGGTTGTCACTCTTGTGGCGGAACTGCAAAGAACGAGACGTCAGACGCCTTCCCCACTCCCAGGCACTGAGACGGTCAGTGGGATGCAAAGCGTGCCGGGTCCCGCCTTGAGTGCACCTGTCCACAGGCGTGCTCTCTCCCTGGCTCCGCCCCCTGCCCGTGGCCAAGGTGCTGCAGGTCTAGGGGCCAGGTGGGGGATGGCAGCAACTTGCTCTCCTCTGTGGGCAGAGGAGAGCAAGTTGGGAGTGGGGGTGAGGAAGAGGGGCAGGAAGGGGAGAATGGAAGCGACTCACATAGTCATCGGTGGCATCTTTAACAGCTGTGATGGCGAGGACGAGAACCAAAGGCACGATGGTGGTGAACCAGGACAGGGAGGACACCTGGGGGATCAGCTGCAAGGGGAAAGAGGGCGTGGCTCCGAGGCCCCGCCCATCCCCCCACCCCCACCCCACCTCCCTCTTCCTTGACTCGGCTTCAGGAGGTGCCGAGGGTCTACCTGCAGAATGAGAAGGAACAGGAAGTAGGTATTGGCAACTTCCTGGAACTGCTCGAAGAGGTTGACAGGCAGGAAGGTGAGGATATTGTACTTGGAGGTCTTGATGCAGTTACTCTGCGGCAGGCAGGCAGGAGAAGATCACCACACAGCCCCCACCCCCACCCCGAGCCAGGCAGTGCTGCCCCCTCCATCCACCCTCCCCAAACCTCTGCCCCCCAAAGCCAGCAAGCACAGGCCTGGGAGGGGGAGGGGCAGCAAGAAGGGAGCCTCCTGGGGTCCACCTGTCCTGCAGCACCACCAGGTGAAGGTGGGAAAAAATCAGCACAGCCTCCAAGGCAAGCGGCCCCGGGGCTGCTTCTGTCCCCTGACCCCCACCTCAAGGGGGCCACCCCCCCACACACACTCAGGAGGAGGGAGCAGGCCAGCCAGAGTCACTCACCGCATACTGGAATTTCTCGTTGTATTCCCGGTCGTTGGCTCGAGCCCGCCTTTCTTCTTCTGCAACAGAATGAGGATGATGCGGCAGTCAGAAGGGGCCCATGGGGGCCCAACACCCTGTCAGGGCTACCCATTTTGTGGGTTTTCCACTGAGGGCTCTTGGCTCCTTCCACAGGACAGTTTGAAGGAGCTGGTGCCCCACCTGAGGTGTCGCTCGTTCTTCCCTCCAGTCCCTCTCACCACCAGCCTGGCCTTTTGGCTCCGCAGGCATTCATTCCCAGGACAAGACCCACAATGTCAAGGTCTTCTGTTAGGGGCACTCAGTTCCCCTCCCCCATCCCTTTAATTAACACCTTAGCCTCAGGGATCCGCAGAGCAGCAGCTGCAGACCAAGAGGAGCCCCTGCAGGCCCAGCCACTGCCCTCCTCCTGACCTGGGGGTGGGGTGGGTGGCAAGCCAGGGGTTCACCCTGCTTCGCAAGTGCTCTGCGGCAGCCTCCCAGCCCCACAGCCCCACGTGCAGCAGCCCCTCTGCTTGTCACATGTCACCCGCAGAGCCTTCTGACTGGCCCACAATGACATCACCTTATTTCAAAGCTCATCTTCCAGTCGGAGAAGGGGGGGGTCAGGGATGCGGGTCATGCGGAACAAGACGGCGATGAAGGAGGCAGGAACGGGATGTGCTTTAAAGGGCTGCTCTGACTGTAACCCTTCCTGTGCCATCTGCGCATCTCACCCTTAACACACCTGCCACCCACGGAGTGACACCTATCCTGAACACTCGCTCATCTGGGGCTGCAGGTACCAAGTTCATGTCCCAAAACGCGGGGCTGTCCTGTAAAGGGATCTCCAGACCACCTCTGGGGGTCACGAGGACCACAGGCTGAAAAGGGGGGCTCCCTGGCGCAGCAGGGAACACAACGCATTCAACCAGCACAGGAGCCCAGTGCTGCATTACAGACCCCTCACCCCTCCAAAGACCCCTGCAGAGCACATCACAGGAACAAAACCTCGGCACAGAGCTCCCTCCGCCTACTCGGAGGGCTCCTTCCCTCCCAGGAACTTCCCCAGCCGGGACCCCTCGCTCTGAGCCCCCTGCGTTGTCTCCAGAGACCGTGCAAGCGAGAGGCAGAGGCCAGACCGTTCCGGAGCCAGATCTCTGGGTCTGGAAAGGAGAGGACCAGGGACAGCTGGGGACAGCCCAATGGGAGAGTGAGAGGAAAAAGCACGGACCCGGGAGAGCTGCTAGGGGCTGCCTCCTGTTACCTGTCCCCCAAGAGGGCTTCTTTCTGCTCCAGGAGGGGGGCGCCCCGGCCCGGGCCCACTTCTCGGGCATCTCCTTGGGGACCGTCATGATCCCAGTTTGAGCGGGGGAGGGCGGGCTGTCTGTCGGTCTGTCCTCGGCCTCAGCGGCGCGGATGCGGCGGCCCCCCGGGCAGGCTCAAGAGCCGCGGCCGCTCAGAGGGGAGCCCCGGCCGCCAGGCGCGCGCCCCACCTGCAGCCCTGGCCATCCCCGCGGCCGCCACCCCCAGGCCCCGCCGCCCGCGCGCCCAGTGGCCCGAGCGCGGCGCGCGCCCCGGCTCCGCCCCCCGCCCGCCCCCCGCCCGCAGGGCAGCGCCTGCCAGCGCCGCGTAGGCGAAGACCGCGGAGCCCCGCCCCCGGGGGGGGAGCCGCCAGTGTTGTCCCGGCAACCGCTTACATCCCGCCCCCGCCGGCAGGGAAAGGGGCGGGGGGCAGGGCGGAGAGAGACTACAAGGAAGGTGGAATCGCAGCGCCCCAGGCCCGAGACTAAGCGCTCGGGTGCCCCGAGAGTGAGGGGAGGAGAGCCCAGCTCAGGTATCCGGGAGACGACTTCGCCTCCTAGGCTCCCCGCCAGGATGGGCAGGGCTGCGATCGACCCTCCTCCAGACTCAGTGCCAGTCGTCCCTCCTCCCTCTGCTCCCTGAGCCATAGTAACACCCAATCTTGATGATCCCAGGGATTCCAATCCCCCTGCCGCCCCCGTCTTACCTGGGGGGCGCTTTTTTGCACACAGTGCCATCTCACCCAGCAAGGTCCCAGCAATCCCATGGGAGACCCTGCAGGAGGGTGACATACGCGTAAGGTCAGAAAGCCAAGGGCAACCCTTCATTCCGCTCTTCGGACCCCTCCTGGAGGTTCTCTTTCCCAGGTCTGGCCCTCCCCATGGTGTCCCCCTCCACCCCCCGCCCATGCCTCAGCCTTCAATGGATGGGGGTGTGTGTATGTGTGTGTGCACGTGTGTGAGGACTGGCAGATTACAGAAGCTGAGACCTACGGGGAAAAGAAGGGGACAGACAGAAGTGGCCAGACAGGAGGGGCACAGCTCTCAGGGAGCCCATCCCTGGGCCCATGAATGCCCCCATGTGCCCTCCTGGTGGTGATGAGTGGTCCCTGTGTTTACTGGAAAGCAGTTTCCACCAAAGGGTGGTGTTGAGGGAACCTGGGCCAGGAAACACCTGGCAGAACCTCAGGAAACCAAGTGGGCAGGCTCCACCCTTCCCAAAATGCTTATAAGGCCCCCATCCCCCCACTGCTGGGCCTTCCATCCTCACCTCCTGCAGGGGAGCTCACGCTAAAGGCATGGTCTGCATTTCCTGAACACAGTCCCCAAACCACTTCCTCTCAGTCTGGGTCAGCTGAGGGGCCTTGCCCAGCGGTGCTGGGGAGTGGCCCTTGCTCCCCCCCCCACCCCCCTGCAAGCCCAGACTGCTAGGGATGGCAAGAGGTGCAGGCTCTGGGAGCATCAGTCAGACATGCCTTTGCTCTCCTTCCACCTTTCTGTGTCCCTTTCACCCGGAAAGGTAAAAGGCCTGGCCTCCAAAACAGGATCACAGAGCCTCATCCCTCTTGCCAGCCGGGTCCCAGGTCCTCCTGTCGCCCCCTCTTTCTCTGTCTGGGTGGAAAGCCTTCCCCCTCATCGGTGCCCCTGACTCGGGCCTCCTAGGCACAGCCTGCCAGCTGGATGCCGAAAAAGACACCGACTGCCTGTCTGCCCGACCTCTGTAACTACAGGCTCTGGCCGCAGCCCGTCCCCTACACCCATCAGCCCTTCACTAACTCACCCTCCCTTTCCGAGCCCCAGATCAGGCACAAAGCCACAAGGCCTTTTCCTCCCGACCCTTCCCAACACCAGTCGCCACGGGTGCCTGGCTAAAGAGGAAAAACCTCATCCACAGTTTTGGAGATGCCAAGCCCTCCTCCGGGAGCCCTCGCCAGGGTCTCCACCCAGTCCTGAGTATGAGTCATGGCAGGGTGGGGTGTGGAGGGAGAGGTTAAGGAGAGGACGGAAGGGTGGGCACGGCAGGGTGGGCTGTGGAGGGAGAGGTTAAGGTGGGCATCCCAAGTTCCATGCCAGCCCCACCCTCCTAAAGGGAGGCAACTGAGATACACCACCAGCCTGAAGATCTGGGTTTGAGTCCCATGAGAGAATTAATGAGGGAACTACACACACCTTTAGGAGTCAGGAGTCTGGACACGGAGCAGGAAAGTTGTTTTACCTCTAAGACCCTGGGGAGAATGAGAGCTGACTTGGTCCCAGACCTCATCCCCTCTGCGGGGCTCTGACAGGGAGGGAACAAGAGTGGCAGAGGGGAAACAGGGAACCCCTCTCACTTCTCCCCAGTCTCACACAGCCTGGGTTTTTTGAACAATCAGGCACACCAGCCACGTCGCCCTGCCCATCACCCTGCCCCAGCCCCCTCTGCAGCCACATTTGGGATAAAAATAGCCAGCTCTGGGAAGAAGCAACGCTTCATGGAGGAAAACGGCTCCTCCTCTCGGCCTGGCCCCTGCTCCCTTCCAGCCCAAGCCCGGGAAGACGAACCCCTTCTTTCAGAGGAGGCTGGCAGGGGTATGTGTGGGCCGGTCAGGGGACAGAAGGAAATGGAATCCTAGATCCCCAGCTCACTTGCCACCAGCACCCCTGGCCACCTGACATCGCCAAGGACAGATGCCAGGGCTCGGTTCCCAGCCCCGAAACCCCAGAGCTACTGCCGCTTTTTGCGCCCCTGCTTTGGCTCACGCACAGACCTCCACCTTGAGAAAAAGCCTACCAGCCCGCACTCCCTTCTCCAGGCGCCCAGACCCTCGGACCAGGGACACTGCCCTCACCCCACAACTCTCGGGAAGGCTCTCCCCTTCTCGCTGCCCCACAGGCTGCCCCGCGCCCCCCACTTGGGCAGCCCCTCCTCCCGCGGTGCGGGCAGCCTCTGGACCCCCATCCTCAGGCACCCGCACCGTCGTCCCTGAGAGCACGCGCGCCCGCCCCGCCTCACCTCAGCGCGCCGCGCCTGGCGCCCGCCCCGGCCTCCCAGTCCTGCCCATGTCGGGGGCTGCGGCGGGGGGCGCTCGGCTCGGCTCCCCGCGGGCTCCCGCCCCCAGCTGCAGCCCCGCTCCCCCGGGGCTCGGCCCGCTACTTTGTGTCAGTTTCGGCCGCGGCGGGGCGGAAGTGACGGAGGAGGCGGCAGAGGCGGGGGGCGGGAGGGGGTTTTGGGGAAGGGAAGGGAGGGGGAGGGGAGGCGGGACCCGCCATCTTTGTGCGGGGCGGGGCGGGGGCGGGGTCTTTACCCACCCGAGGCCGTGTCCCCTCACCCCCACTGTACATCCATCCCACAGCCAAAAAGCCAAATCAGCCAGCAGAGCAGCGAGCCCGGGCGTTTTTTGTTTTTTCAAGTTTATTTATTTCAGTAATCTCCGCGCGCAACAGGGGCTCGAACCCACGACCCCGAGCTCGCGTCGCAAGTTCCTCCGACTGAGCCAGCCCGGCGCCCCTAAGGGAGGGCCGGCGCGTTTATTCGCTGGAAAGGGGCCCCGCAGCGCGGCCCCTGGAGGGGCATGAGAGCGAGCATCCCCCTCCCGCTCACCCGGCTCCCCGCGGCTCACCGCACCCCTTTCCGGGACCGACGGCTGGAGCGTCTGGGCGCTGGGCCGTGCCTCAGTTTCCCCCTTTGCGCTCCCGGCCGCCAGGCAGTCCCGGCTCGCCCCCTCTCCATCCAGAGAGCCGCCCCGCGAGGGCAGGGCGGCCGCACCGAGGTCCGGGGCTGGGAGCCTTGCGGGGGGACCGGGCTCAGCAGCAAGGGCCCCTCGCCGCGGCCGCCCCCCGGCCCCCCGTGCCTCTCCGGGGCGCGCCCTCTGGTGGCTGCTTTGAGGCGCTACGTCCGCAGCAGCGGTGGGGTCCAAAGACCAGCTGGGGGAGCAGGGGAGCAGGAGCAGCGGGAGGAGCGGAGGAGGGGAGGAGAGGCCGCGGGGAGCGGGGAGGAGCGGGGGAGGCCCGGAGGGGCTGGCCCGGGATCGCCCGGTGCAGGCATCCTCTCCGGCTTAAGAGGAAAGGGTGCCTCGATAGCCGACCGCGAAGCCGGCGCATTCGTCAGAGGAAGAATGTCCGGTCCCCGACGCCGGACTTCTGGCCCTCCGCAGCGTCCACGAGGGCGGTGAGGGCTGTCCTGTGGGAATCACAGCTGCGGCCGCCGAGCTGGGGCAGACGTTTCCCAGCCTGAGGCTTTCCGTCGCGCGAGCTCTAGATCCTGAGCTGGCTCTGACTCCTCGGGGTGGTGGAGGGCCACCAGCAGCTGGTACGTGGCTGTGCCAAGCGTAGCCCCCACCAGAGGGGCCACCACAGGCACCCACCACCAGCCATTCCCGGCACTACAACAGAGGGCCAGGAGGAGGGACTCAGGGCTGACTCCCCTCGCCTCCCCGCGGAGGACCGGCCGTCGCATAGGCGCCCTGAAAGCAGTTCCTGGGGAGATGGACGCCAGAGGAGTTTGGCTCCGCAACGAGCACAGCGCTTGGAGGGGAGCCCCTAGGAGAGCCTTGGTCCAGCCTCTTGTCGTAGGGGATTATCTGAATATACCCCTGTTGCCGAGGAGGTCACTAATGCCCAGGAGGTAATGACACACCCAAGAGCAACATCCTTACAGTTTGTGGGGGGAAGGGTGGGGGGAGAGGAGAAGGGTAAGAGAGAGAGGGAGAGCTACGGTGTCGATGAGGGACACTGTCCCAAGAGGCTGAGAGAACTACGCAAAGGGGGAGCTGGGGACCCAGACTCTGAGGGAGGAGAGTGGAGGGACTGCCTCAGGGGAGGGGGCCATAGTCTCCCACCTGAAGACTTCAGGGCCCCAGCCAGCCACATAGGTGAAAAGCCGTGGGCCCAGGTCGCGGGCAGGGTTGAGTGGGAACCCACAGTTGACACCCAGGGATAGCCCGATGGCTAGGATCAGCAGCCCCACAGCCACAGGCTCCAGACCCGCAGGCACTCCCTTGTTCCGTGTGTCCGTGATGGCCAAGATCCCCACAATAAGGATTCCTGTGCCCAGAACCTTAAAAGTGACAGAAGCAGAGGGGCCCCCATGAGCTGCCAGACGATCCCTCTGCCCTTTCTCACCCAAGGATCCTAGGCCACCAACCCTTGTCATCTGACTTTGTCCAACATGGGTAACTGGGGTGGGGGTGGCTCAGAGAGGAACCCAACCCCCTCAGCCCAGGGAGTTTCAGGGGACGAGGGCAAAGAGCCAGGCTCTCCCAGTCTCTCCCTCACACTCACCTGATCCAGGAAGCCATTGTTCAGGGACAGATAAGGGGCAGGGTAGGTGGCAAAGATGGAGGCTGTCTCCCTGGGCCCAGTCACTGTCAGGTTCCCACCTGTATAATTCTGGAGGGCGTCTGCAGGGGACGGGGACACCGCAGATTCCCATCTTCGTTCATGCAAAACCATTGCCAGGCGCGCCCAGCTACACACCAGTGTGCCCGACAGCCTTACCGTAGTAGACGGCATAGGTGGCTCCGGAGGCACAGAAGGCCGACAGAAGCTGCACCAGGCCGTAAATGGGCAGTTTGGCCCAGGGCAGACGTCCCAGGAGGCACATGACCAGGGAGAAGGCCGGATTCAGGTGGGCCCCTTCAAGGATCCAGAAAAGGAAACCAACATCCATGAAGTGTCCCACCAGGCACTCACCAGGTGACGCTGCTGCTCCTCACAGCTTTTTAATTTAATTTTACTGATCTTTGCCCCCAGTGTGGGGCTCGAACTCACAGCCCTGAGACCAAGAGTGGCCTCTTCTGACTGAACCGGCCGGCACCTCTGCTGCGTGCAACTCTGAAGGCAGACGCTACTGTTCCCGTTGTGTCGGGAAGCTGAGGCTCAGGGAGGTCATGCAACTTGTCCGGGTCACAGAGTAAAGCCCAGGGTCTGCCTGCCCTCTCTACAACACTGTTCGTGTTCCAGGCTCCGGCCGGGCACACTGGCATAGCACGTGTCCAGAGGAGGAGCAGGTGAGGTGCTGCGCAAAGATGACCCCCGGGGCTTCAAGAGGGGGACCCAAGAAGATGGCACCCACCCCGATGCCTCGCCACAGATCTCTGTCTAGGTGAGTGGCGGACACACACGAAGGGGAGGGGCTGGACCAGGCCAAAGCCCTATCTCCGTCCGGGGCACTAGCCAAGCTCAAGGAGACAATGTCCATGAATCACCAAAGGATCTGCCTTGTCAGCATCACCACAGACCCACACTCCCGTGCACGGTCCACGTCTCTGATGACCAGACCCCGCCCTTCTCACCTGAAACGTTACCGCTCACGTAGGTGGCCACCGTCACGGCCAGGGAGCTGGCCAGACACATGGTGAAGAAGTTGCCTTTGCTTTCTCCGCTGGTGACGGCCTGCGCCACAGACCCCTGGGTGAGGAGCTGGTGGGGAGAGGGCGGATGAGGAACAGGAGCCGGAACAGGGGGACCGGCAGCGGGGACAGAGGCTGGGAAGGCAAGGCGCCAGCGGAGAGAGCTGAGCGCGTGGGCTAGGGAGAGGGAGAAGCAGACAGAGGGCGATAAAAGGGAGACAAGGAGGACGACTGAAGACAGGGAAGGAGAATGAGAGATGGACAGGGCCAGGCATAAGTTAGGGAGGAGGACAGGAATGGCAGGGACACGGACGGGGAGAGAAGTGACGGGTGGTTGGAAGACGCGAGACACCTGCAAGAAGAAACAGAGACCCTGGAGGAGCGAAGAGCTTTTGCCCCCGCCCCCACCCCCGCTCCCCGTCCCAGCTCACCAGGAGCACGAACACGCCGAGAAACTCCGCCAGGCACTGTCGGCCCAGCTGGCTGCGGAGCCGGAGCCGGCCTTTGACTTGGGCCAGGGGCCAGCCGTAGGCCATGGTGAAGACAGCCCGTGTCCGCCTGCCGCTGTCTGTCTGCACCGGCACACAACTACTGACCCGGGAATCGATAAGGAAACGACTTTAAAACTGATTGGCTCAGCTCCAGCACAGCAATATCTGTACCTGTACAATATCTGTACCTGTACACGTGTACAGGCTGGGGAGGTAGAGATAATGGGAGAAGGTCTAAGGGCAGGCCCCGTGCATGACCAGAGCCTGGAGTTTGCCCAGGCTCTGTCCCCTTTGTCACCCCCATTCCTTCCAGGAGTAACCTCTTCCTATGCTGCCGGGTTGGAGGGAGTGGCCCGCGTCGGTGCTCTTGGCCACCAGCACCTCGAGAGGCAGCACTACCGTTCCCACTCTGCTTGTGAGGGTCTCGAGAGCCTCGGGACTCCCCAAGGCCACATGGCCATCTAAGGGCTCAGTCTTTCTCCCCATCTCCTGCTGCACGATGCCTCTCTCCTGCGGAATGTGACACACCTCCCCCACCTGATGTGGGAAACAGAGGCAGAAGAAAATCATTAAATCTCCTTACCTACTGACAAGCCCTTGAAACAGACAGAGTGGCTCTCCCCTGGGGACTCAACTGCCCTCACCTTGAGGTTTTGCTAAGGACGATCCTAGCCTGACTGGCCCCCTACTCCAACAGGTCCAACCAGGATCCTGTAAGTCTACTTTAATAATTCCTTTAGGAAACTTTATCTCTAAACCTCCAAAATAGTGTCAACAATCATTCTCAAGCATATGACCCACTGATATACATCTAAAGGGTCTCACGAGAAGATTTTTATTACTGGTGACAATAGGTAGCCCCTCAAGGTCCTGGAGACCTCGTTTCCAAAATTCCTTAGAGACTTACATCATCCATAATCGCCTTTGTCCTCACCCACCCCCAAGTCCACCCCTACTCTGCCTTTAAAAACTCTGTCACCTGGTTCGGGGTCCAAGTCCCTACCCCGCTGTGCCGGGTACACTTGGGCCCAAGCTTAAGCTTTCAAATAAACCCTTATGTGATTGCATCGGTGTCGGCTCCTTGGTGGTCTCTTGGACGTGAAAACTCGGGTACAACACCACCCATTTGGACACTTAAAATAAAACCAACTCGTTGCACGTTTGCCCTTTCATGCAGAGTCTCCCCTCGGTGAGAAAGTGCTCGAGCTTTGTGTCCCCTGCCTCGGCTCCGGACAGAGCGGACAGAGCGCTTCCGGCCCCGCTGAGCCCCCCCCCCCCCGCCCCCGGGGCCCCCCCCCCCCCCCCCCCCCCCACTCCTTTGGGGCCAATGCACCCATCACCAGGCTGGGACTCTCAGATGCTGAGAGCACACAGCTCCTTCCCGCACGGGAATACCTCTCACGGCCGGGACAGCCTCACCCAAGGGGACATGCCCCCTTACACGGCCCGTGTCAATGACTGGTTGGTGCAGGGATGCAAAGATCTGGCCTCTTTGCCTTGAAGTAGAACAACCACAAGGGCCGCTCCAGCTTCCAAGTCCCCGTAGGATCAGCTGCGGCTTCTCTTGTAACTTCCTTGTGTCCATCTCCCTTTTTGCCTAATCCTGCTCTCCTCACCTTCTTACATGTGCGCCCCTGAGACCATTAGCGCCCCCAGGAAACTGCGCATGTCTCTTCTCATCTTGGTCTTTTCCCAGGGAACCCAACACAGTGGTTCCACGAACTCTAGAGTGGAATTTGGGTGATCACTTACGGGCTGGTTGACGAGAACCCTGTCGTGGTAGCAGGTAGAAGATGGACAGTCTGTAGCTTGAAGCAATGCAATGGTTAAAATCGCCAGCTGTCGTCCGTTGGAAGCCGTCACTGGGTGAAGGACAGGCACCTATGTAGGACCTCCAGCACGGGAGAGGCTGAGGGAAGCGATCCTAGGTTCCGCAGAATGGATCACTAAGCCGCGGCACACTACAAAAGCCCGTGGTCTCCCTTACAGCACTTGAGGAAAGCCTAGCCTCTTGGCGTCCAGTGGGCATCAGCGTGGGGCACCAGCTCCGGCGTGAATGGGAGGAGTAGCTGAGCTTTAGAGAAGGTGGAATTCTCAGCCCCAGTCGGTTTCCTACGTCAAGGTTAGGATCCTAAAAGAAAAAGGGTAGGACTCTGACACTTGAAATAGGGACATCTGGGTAGATGCAAATGAGAATCTGGAATTCCCAGATTCCTCTGAACCCTCTCTCAAATCATCTGGATTTTCCTTTTTCTCTAGTGTTCTGAAGTAGAGGTTTTGTTTGTTTGTTTGATCCTTGCTGTTTAGCATGTGGTGGGTCTTTCAGATTAGAAGTAAATATTCCTCACTTCTGGGATATTTTCTTGGTTTATTTCCTTGATGGTTTATACAATTCCAGTTTTCCTTTTTTATTCTTTTTTCTTTAAAAAAATTCTTTTTTAAGTTGGAGTATCGATAAGTATGTTAGTTTCGGGGTACCTTTTTTCCTGTTTTCTGTCTCTGTTACTTGGTCTTTCCAGAGACTTCGACTTTGTCATCAAAATCTTTGGATAGTTTTTCATTTTTGCCGTCACATTTAACTCCTCGAAGTTCATTCTTACTTATTTCTCCTTTGTAGGAATATCTTCTGGCTTTCTGAATATATCATATTTCTAAGGACATTAAATGTGCCCTTTCTAATTGTTCATCTTTCTGCAGGTCTGTTGCTCCCAAGTTGCTTCTCTTCTGCATGTCCACCACCCTTCAGGCTCTGGGCTATCCACACGTCTGGCAATCTCCAGCTCCATGTGTTTATGGTGATGCGCTGAAAAGCGGACTCGAAAAATCGATTACAAGGGAGCCTGGGTGACTCAGTTGGTTGAGCATCCAATTCTTGGCTTTGGCTCAGGTTATGATCTCAACGTCATGAGATCGAGTCCTGCAGCAGGCTCCGCACTCAGTGGGCAGTCCGCTTGAGAGTCTCTCCCTCCCTCTGCCCCCTCCCCTGCTCACATGTGTGCTCTCTCTCAAATAAATAAATAAGTTTTAAAAATCAATTGTATTTTTTTAACTTAAGATTTTATTTATTTCTTTTTTTTTTTTAAGATTTTATTTATTTATTTGACAGAGATCACAGGTAGGCAGAGAGGCAGGCAGAGAGAGGAAGTGGAACAGGCTCCCCACTGAGCAGAGAGCCCGATGCGGGGCTCGATCCCAGAACCCTGGGATCATGACCTGAGCCGAAGGCAGAGGCCTAACCCACTGAGCCACCCAGGCGCCCCAAGATTTTATTTATTTCTTTGACAGAGACACAGCAAGAGAAGGAACACAGCAGAGGGAGAAGCAGGCTTCCTGCCCAGCAGGGCGCTCGATGCGGGACTCGATCCCAGGACCCTGAGACCATGACCTGAGCTGAAGGCAGACACTTAACAACTGAGCCACCCAGGCACCCCAGCTGCATTCTTACATACTAGAACTTGGGGAAAAATGGGAGGACATGTTCTACTAAATACAGCCCCGCAATTTTAAAATGTGAGTAGGTACAGAGGTAGACAAATAGATTAACAGAAAAGACAGAAAGACCCAGCAAAGGGATCCATGTGTATTTGTATATATGTGTGTGTGTATAAAATATATTCATAGTGTTTGTACATATTTATACACACGTGTTCATTTTCCCAAATAGAAAAAAAACGAAGTTGATCCCCTGGTTCATATCAAATAGAAGAGAAAATCCTGGTGGACTTAAAAACCTAAATGTAAAAGGAGAACAAATAAAACCTTAGAGAGAATAAATAAAGGAGAGCATTCTTTTCACCTTGGGTTGGGGAAATTCCTAAAAGATATAGAAAGCACTAACCATAGAGAATATAAACTTAGCTACAATAAATCAACTTCTGTTCATGAAAAGATATAATAAAGAAAATGAAAATACAAAATTTTATTGCTGTACCTTTTCTCTTTGTTCTTATGATTGGCTTCCTTAGAAAAATCCCTCATTTGAGTCATTTCAAGAAAACAGGTAAATGAATGTGTAAGATCTGCCACTCTCAGTCACAGGACTACAGTTTGTTGTTGTTGTTTCTGTTGTTTTTAGATTTCATTTATTTATTTGACAGACAGAGATCACAAGCAGGCAGAGAGGCAGGCAGAGAGAGAGGAGGAAGCAGGTTCCCTGCCAAGCAGAGAGCCCAATGTGGGACTCGATCCCAGGACCCTGAGATCATGACCTGAGCTGAAGGCAGCAGCTTAACCCACTGAGCTACCCAGGCGCCCTGTTGTTGTTTTTTTTAGATTTATTTATTTGAGAGAGAGAGAGAGAGAGAGAGAGAGAGAGGATATGCACGTGAGCGTGGGGGGGGGGGGGGGGGGGGCACAGCCCCTGCTGAGCAGGGAGTGGGATGTGGGGCTGGACCCTAGGACCCTGGGATCATGACCTAAGCTGAAGGCAGATGTTTAACACCCAGGTGTCCAAAAGGTTTCTTAATGAGAAGAAAATCTAGCAACTTTTGTGCTAGTTACATTTTCTCCAACATACATTTAAAAAAAAAAAAATTTGCCAATGTAGTTCCTTGAATTCTCTCACGAACTGTCTGATCATAGTGATCCCAGAGCTAGGGAAGCAAGTGTCCCTACATTTCCATACACACTCCCTCTTTTCAGAACCCAATGTGTCCCTGTGTAGAAATTTTCCTGGAATTGTCTCCCTTTCTAAGAATAATCATTTTCTACTGGTACCTGACCCTATTTATCAAATCGGTTTTGGAAGTGGAACAAAAAATTAAGAAATAAGAACACTGTGGGCCAAAATGATCTGGAAAGCCCTGGATGGTACTAGGAAGTGGAACAGCCTAGACAAAACTAAGACCAAAGAATTAGCATAAATAAAGGTTTTATTGGTCAGTTTGGGCGAGTCACATACTGCATACCCCCAATTCACTGTTCTTCACACCCAAGGCCCTGAGGCGGCAGGAGGGAAAGGTAAGCCCACTGATGGTGCGCCAAGGGTGGAAAGAATCTGAAGGCCTCTGAGGGTTGACAAGGCTACCGGGACCGGAACCAGCGTCCTAGAAATAAATCCAGGATGGAATACGCACCATCCAGGGCTGCAGGATTTGGTGATTCTGGATCTAAGGAAGAAAGTGATACACAGAGACACACTAAATGAAAGAGAATGGGCAAAGGATAAGGAGAGTAATAATATTAAAGGCTAGGAAAGTACGGGTTCCCCCTTCTCAAAGAAGTAAGAGATGGATCCCTTTGATTCACACACTTTACTTACCATCTCTAGGACGGCCATCTCCTTCCTGATGGGTTACCGTGGTCTCTGTCCGGCCCTCACTGTCCACCACAGTCCGGCGCTCCTCTACTGTCTATAAGGAGAAGCCCGAACCGTGTCTCTAACATCAATAAAGATGAGTTCATGGTTTCTTTACCTAGATTGCTCTCTCCATGGCATCCTCTGGCCACAGTTCTTTCTACCCCTCTCTTCCAACTCACCCCATCTGGCTTAGTGATCTTGGTCACCGAGACGCTCTTGAAATAGGATTTGGGCTGAGGTTGGAGAACTGGGCCGAGGCCCTCCTGGGAAACTTGGGAATCAAGATCTAGAAGGGCAGAGAGAGGAAACACGAAATCAAGAGTCCGAGGAAAAGAGGGGGCCAAGTATGACAAGAAACTTCAGGGAGGAGAGCTGAGGGCACTTTAAACGGCCTCTGCCTCCAGACTCACCATTGTCTTCTCTGGCTCTAGAACGGGCGGTCGTAGGCCACATATCATCGAACTGTAGAAAAAAGCAAAGTAGGTGAAATGATACCTTTCACTCTGAAACTTGAGGGGTCACAGGACACAAAGTACCCCTAAGATCCAAAACCACCTTTCCCTGGGAGAGATAATCGCACTCGGGGTAGCTTTACTTACTCACCCCTTTCTCCTCCTTATCTGTTTTATCTATCCTTCTACCAAAAGGCTCTCCTGAACTGACACTTCTTTTTTTTAGACCTTTTTTTTTTTTTTTTTTTGGAGATAGAAAAGGAAAAAGAGAGCACGAGAAAGGAGAAGGGCAGAGGGAGGAAAAACAGACTCCCGGTTGAGCACAGAGCCCACCACGAGGCTCGATCCCAGCACCCCGAGATCATGACCTGAGCCAAAACCAGACCCTTAACTGACTGAACCATCCAGGTGCCCTGATTTTTTTTTTTTTAAGAGAAAGCAGAACTCCCATCTCTGTGTCTACTCCCACCAAAATCCTACAAGGAGCTTAACACAGAAAACAGACATGAACACTGAGCGGGGAGCCCAGGACCCCACCCCAAGTCTGTCAGACTCCGACAAGCCTCCAGTCTGTGCTCTATTAGCTGTCCCCCACAGGCCCTCACTCTGGGCCCAGAAGCACTCACCACACCGAAAGGTCTCTGGGAGCCCCAGTCCTGTGCTGGTTTGGGGGATTCGCTTCTTGCGTCACTCTCCAAGACCCCCCTGAAGGTCCCGGGCTGCTGACTGTCTGGATACTTAAGCATCGAGTCCCGGAGTGTCTGCCCCTCCCGTCGCCTCTCACCGGGTGTCTCAGACTCAGGACCAGGACCCGGAAGTTCTGCAGAAAGAGGGCAGATGGCTGCTGGGGCTGGAGAGGACCTGGGCTCTTTACAACCTTGGTATCACCAGTCTTCTCACGCTGCCCGCCCTGACTCCTTTCCTCGGGCTCCTGATCTCACCCACCAACCCAGGAGAAACCACAGGTTGTCCGGGGACAGCACACACCCGGAAGGCGGGAAGGCAAGGTCCAGGTCCCCATCTCGCTGAAGATGTTATTGAAATCCCGAATTAGGTCGTCAAAGCCGAAGTTATCATGGAAACGCATCCCTCCTCCTGGGCTGAAGCTGAAGCCGAAGCCAAACTCCTCGGGGGGCTGGGGGCCCTCAAACCTGGAGCTCCCACGGCCCCACGGGGCTTCTTCCTCCTCGTCCTCGTCGTCCTCTTCTTCATCTCGAGTCATCCCTCCAAAAAAGGGCTCTCTGTGGCTGGGGGTGAAGGCAGATTTGAGCACCAGGACCTCAGCACCACCGTAAACCACACCGCGAGCTCTCGGCGGGAGGGGCCGAGGGCAGGCGGGGGTGCGCAGAGCCGAGGTGCGGGGGAGAGGCGGGCCGTGGGGTCTGTGCTGTGGTCGCGCCGCCATCCCAGGCAGGCCTCACCTCGCGGTCCCCCGCGCGCCCGGCGGCCCTCTCCCCTCACCGGCCCGCCCCCCAGCCCCACCGTCGTCCCCGGGGCCCCTGCTGCATCACCCCAGACTGGAGAAAGCCTTAAACTGCTGTTAGTCCTCCTCTCAGCGGCCGCCCAGGTGACTGCCGCCGGGTGAGCGCTCAGGGTGCTGACTTCCGTCCCGGCCGCAGCAGGTGAAGGGGTGACGAAGACGATGCTTTCCCAAGAACCGGGCGTCAGGGGTCACGCTCCCCTCAGAGGACCCCACCCTCGTCCGACCCCGACCCACTCTAACCTCCGAGGTCCAGAAAGGCCGAAAAAGCCCCGAAAGAGATCAAAGAGGCTCATCCCCGTTTTGGGACTCGAACCTGCGGACCCCTGCGAAGCCCATGCGTACCCGGCGGCAGCCTGCGTTCCGCGGCCGGAAACGCAGCGAAGCGTCGGGCCGCCTGCCGGAAAGCAAGCCTGCGACCCGCACTGTCGTAAAACGACCGTCCGCACGACGCGGGGGGGGGGGCGGGGCGGAGCGGATCGCCGGGTCCCGAGCCGCGGGCCTCCGGTGAGGGCGGTGGGCGGCGCCGCGAACCTGCCGCCGCCCGGGAGGGCCCCGCCCCCGGAGCCGACCCCTCCCCGCCGGACGCGCGGGGCCGCCGGGGCTTCCAGGCCGCGCGGGGCTGGCCGCCGCCGCCGCCAGGGGTCAGCCTTCGCCCCGCGAGCCGGCCGCAGCAGGTGCCCGGGGCCGCGCGTGTGTTCCCCCGCCGGGCCGCACGGACTCGGCGCTCCGCACCCCGCACGCAGTCCTCACCGCTCCGGGCGGGCTCTGCAGCTTGCGGGGCGGACGCTTGGTGCTGGAGCCCGGGGGACCGGGCCAGTGTCGCGGGGGCAGGAGGCGTGCGGAGCTGTGAGTATCCCCCGGCCCGTCCCCGACCTCCCCGGCCCCCCGCCCCCGCCACGCAGACCCCCCCCCCCCTTCTCGCGGAGCGCCCGGGCTCCCTTGTGTTCGGCGGCTGCAGGTAACGCTCCCTCCTCCCGCGCGTTTGCCTGCGCCCGTGTACACCGCACGCCCCGTCTACACCGCCCGCCGACTCTTCCAGCTCCTGCTTCATCTTCTCCTCCCGCCCAGTATCTGCTGTCCACTCCCTCCCTTCACGGCCCGAAACCTGCCGCGGGGGGCGGGGGCAGCTTCCGGAGGGAACGGGGTCGTGCAGCGGCTCCTCGCAGGTGTGAAACCCTTGGGGTAGAAGGAAAGGGAATTCCCGGGGGCAAGATCCTGGCGGCACATTATGGCCAAAGAGCTTTTATTCCCGCGACTCGGGAGCCCCGCCGGGGGACCGGCTGGCACAGAACACCCATTCGCCAAGCTGGCCGACGAGACCGTCCTAGACGGATCAAGAATGGGCAGAGGCTGAAGGTAGAGGTTTTCTTTTTATATATACAAGACACATTAATCCATTAAATTTGAGGACACAGTACAAAAAAAAACACTTCAACTAATTCATCTGACAACGCTGTTCATATTCATGACGCCGTTTTTTGTTGTTGTTTTGTTTCCTAATAATAAAGAAGACGACTCAGGGCTGTTGGGCTGATATATATTTGGGGGTCCCCCCTCCCCACCTCACCCATACACCACCAGGGTGAATAGGAGGAGGAAAAGGAAGGCAGGGCCCACAGCAAAGTTTCATAATCTTGAATGCAAGGGGGTAGGAGAGGAAAGGGAAAAAAAAAAAAAAAAGAAAATACAAATCCTATAATACATACAACAGAGTGGGGATGGTATGGGAACGGGACAGACATGAAGCTGAGGCATGGGGCGGGCCGCTGGGGGTAGGGGGCAGCGGACCCCCCCCCCCATTCCTTTCTTTGATGCTGTTTCCGTAGTTGCCAGGCTGAGAAGCCCTCTCAGAAGATGGGACCGGGAGAAGAAGAGGGTCAGGGCCTCAGTTCGCCCCCCAGCTGTAGCTGTTGTAGGCAGACTTGTTGGTCTGGGGCTTCTGCGGGATGGAGCTGGTCTGGCTACGTTGCCCGCTGCCCGTCTGCAGGGAATGGGACGATGAGGAGGAAAAAGGTGTCTAGTTAGTGGGACAAATCTGTGACATCTTCAGATGGAGATCTGGAAACTGTCTTGCTCTCCCATTCCCCCTGCTTAGAAACTACTCCGAAGTTTACTTCCCAACCCCAGACAACCTGGTGTGTAGAGCTGCTAGAGCACCTGATAGGTCGAACAGCATTTTCAACCTTTCAACAGGGCAGCAGTGTAAAGACGGCAGCTACCTTCTGAAGACAAGACAGTGAATGAGTCCTACCCACTTTCAATCCCACCGTCTCCCCCCCCCCCCCCCCACACTGCTCTGAGAAAAGGCTACTCTCTCTAAAGAGAATTATGGCCTCTTGGAGAGGAGTGATCAAACGGTGATTTCACTGATCCCAAGAATACCTGAAGTCGGGAAGCTGTCTCTGAGAGCCAGGAAGCCCTTATCCCGGCTCCCCGGCTGCCTATGATGGAGGACAGGTCACCTGTACTACCGCCACAGCTCCCCACCCCTACCACACAGCAGCGCTGAGAGCCCACTGCAGGCAAGGTAGGAGACACAGTCTGAGGCCCCAGGCTCCAGATGCTGCCCCAAGAATCCTTTCCATGCCAGTAACCAAGTGTTTCCAGAGTCAGGGAAGGGCAGAAAGAAAAAAGAGGGCACTGGGGAGGGGAGGACAAGAGAGGGACGGGAGGCCAGAGAGCTCAGCAAGGTGTCTGTGTTCGTGTGTCCTGATCTGTGACCGTGCAGCCTTTTCAAGTTCCCTGAGGCTGTGGAGGTGAAATGGGGGCTGGAAAGGAGTGGGTTCAAGCACACCATCATTCAGTTTCATTACCTGCTCCTCCTGCTGGCGCTGGCAACAGAGAACCATCTGCAAATATGGTAGCTGAGGCAGAACCAGGATATATGGAAAATAAAGGGACAAACTTTGACAATAGAACTCCACCATTAGAAGGGAAAGCTACAATGTCAGGGAAGGGGGGAGGCTGGGAGAGGTCAGAGGGTAGGTGTGACCCAGGTCTGATGGGATGAGGGCAGCTGTGCTACAGGAGGTAGAGGAGAAAGGTACCAAAGGAACAGGGCAAAGGAGGTTTGAGCCTGACCCCTTCTCTGACCTCTCCTCAGCCGCGGCTGGTGTTCTGTGCGCTTGTGTCTGTGTGTGCTGTGTGCCCATGGCTGGCGCTGGGAGGGGTGGGTGAAGGTGGTGCTGAGGAAGGGTAAGAAGAGGAAAGGGGGGCAGTTTTAAGGGACAGGAAGGAAGAGGAAGGGAAAGGAGAGGGGAGGGCTGTTACCTGGCCGTCCTGCTGCAGGTGATGGTGGAGGATCTGGGAGTGCGGCTGCTGATGGGGGGTCAGGATGTGCATAAAGGGGGCAGGCGGGTAAGCAGCAGCTGTGGCCGGATTGATGGGCCCCCCACTTCCTAGGGCTGAAGGCAAGTTGAAGGAGGCAGCAGGAGTACCGGAATGAAAACCTTGTTTCTCAAAGGACTGCTATGCAGGGGGATGGAGAGACAGTAAAAGGGGTCAGCAAACCAATCCCTGGAGTTTCTGAGCCCAAGCCCCCCACCACCAAGAGCCGTACGCGTCTGCAGAGGAGCCCTGCACCTGGTGCCCGGTGCTCGGGTCTGTCTCCGCTCAGAGAAGGACTCGCTGTCTCTGACTCCTGTTTCTCACACACAACACAGGGGTGCTCCTGACTTCCAGCTGTCAGGCCCGCAGGAGAAGATGGCTGTGAGTGTGCCCTGTGACTCTACTGTCGCCCCACCCTGCAGCCGGGCCCATCCGCGGCAAGGCTCTTGGCTAGGAAGGATGTGCTCCAGCACACCTCCTCTAACATCCCGTGCTTCAAAGAGTACTTCCTGCTCCTTGTTTGTACAGAGAACGGAGCGAACCAGTCTCCCTTCATTCCACATCGTTCCCTTGGAAAGTTGCAAGAAGACTGGCAGTGGGTAAACAAAGTCAGGACAGCAACACAGGGAGTCCCACAACACACCACCGCGACCTGCCACGCCTCATCGTCCTGTCACACTTCTCTGGCTTTTTCTCAGAGGGTTAGATTTCAACTTCTTTGAGAAACTGCCCTCCAGAGACCATTCATCTAGGGTTGGTTTCCGGGCCCCCGTCAGGGTCGTGCTTGCTCACTGAACTTCTGTCACTGCCACGCCACCTCCTCTCTGTCCCTACCTTCCCACTTCTCTCCAGAGCTAGGCACCTACCTGGGTTTTGGAGTACACAGAACCCGAGATATCTGGCACGCCCGTGTTACTGGAGGTGACTGATACACCTGGGGGAGGAGGAAACAGACAGGAGGATTAGCTCAGCTGGCCGCAGGCCCCTCTCCCGGCGAGGAGATCACGCGCAGCCTTTCTAGCTACCGCTCTGCCAGGGAAGTCTGGTCTGTTTGTCCAGCTCAGGTCAGTCCTGAGGGAGGAGAGAGCTCATGACCCAAGTCTCTTGCCCTTTCCAGGCATATACTGAGTATGTGTGTCAGGAAGCAAGGCGGCTGCGTTTTGCGGAGCAAGGAGACAGCCAAACCCCACTAACATACTTTCCAAAACACTTCTGTGCCAAAGCCCAAAAAGAAATGGATTAAACTTTTAACGTCCATTTCAAATCAACCCACCCAGACTCCACTCAGTCCTGCTCCTGGAAGACAGGTAGTCTAGGCTCTTTCTGTTCATGAAGAGACACTTTCGGGCTCAGGATCCGTGCTTTCACAGCATAAGGTAAGAGCTGGAGGAGCAGTCCGGTCCAACCCCAAAAGCAGGGCGCATGTTCGGAGTCTCTGCTCCCCTGGCCCAGCTTCTCCAGTCTTGGCTCTTCTAGGCTGGGTACTTACAACTTAACGAGCAGACACTGAGGTGCATTTCCAGCTAAGAAATTTAAGCCTAAGCATGGGGGTGGGGGAGGTTAGGAAGGTGGTGGCGTAGGCCATCTCCTATGATCTACGTGGAACACAAAATCCGACATCATTTTCAACTTGAGCTGCTCCGTGGACACAGGCTCTGACCCCTGCTCCCAACAACCTGCGTGCTTCCCGCCGAAGAGCTCCCTACTACCACTACCACTTCAAGGAAACCAGAGCAGTACCACTCCTCGTTTTAATTTCTACTCCTGACACTGAAGTACACACACTGTACCCTTGGGAATGGGGCCACGGGTCAGGCGACAGAAAGAAGCCATCAGATAAAATCAGTGAGCATCTTACGAGAGAAATTTTATGCCAAGATTTGAGGAAAAAGAACTCAAATGTAAAGCACGCTTTTAAAGATACATTCAATCTCATCACAGGAGATAATTTAAATGAAACTTCAGGAAAACCTTTCAGCCTGTATCCTTGGACCCTTCTCTCCCGCTGTGAGGGGCACTTCGATGCAAGAGTGTTTAGAACCACTGTGCTTACGTGACCAAACCACAAATTCCCCCCAGAACCCCGATCCTCCCGATGCCAAGGACAAAGGCAGCCCTCAAAGGTTAAGCCCTCCTTGGAGGACCTTCCTAACACAAGTGGCACCTTAACCTGGAAAGCCCTCCCAGAGCACAAGTCAAAAGGAACAGAACTACAGAAACAGAGCATGAGAAGATACTGCGATCTCCAGAGCAGCAACTCTATATTCAAAGGCACTGAAGTAAAAGAAAGGGACCATACAGGGACTAATGGGGGTAGTCTGGCCCCCTCCTCTTCAAACCCCATGTGCCCATGTACACATCATGGGTAATGAATGTAACTTCAACAACAGTGCGTTTACGGAAAAGGCTAAGCCACCGAGGTTTGTGTGGAAGGGGCTGAGAGTGCGGTGGGACAAGAGTACTAACATTTTTGAGGGAAATCAGAGACAATGACTGATCTTTACTGCAAAGGCTCAAACACCTTGCAGACGCCCAGGATTACCCCATACTGGATGAGAGGAACAGCCACCTTGTTTCTCAAGCTGGGTGGGAGGGAGGAATTTAGATTGCCAGCAACCCCCTCCCCCCCCCCCCGCTCTCCCCACACCTGGCCTCGTTCTTTCCAGAGGCCAGACTAGCTGAAATCCAGCTTCTGGTCCTGAGACTCAGTCTGGGTATTGGCTGAAGGGACTGGAGATACAGGACAAGAGAACACTCTACCAGCCCTAACAGTCTGAGTGCGAGCACGAGACGGAACAGGCGTTGGCTTCTCCACTTACCCTTCACCAGTTACGAGAAAGCTCCTCAGACCAGAGTTCTCTTGCTTTCCTTCCAACAGTCCACGCCCCGTCTACCCCCACCCAACTCCCAAGCAGTGGTGACCACACTGACATGATGTGGACAGCACCGAGAAGCAAGAACCAACGTCTCCCAGCACGGCAGCCCCTGGGAGGTGCGGTCACACTCACAGGAAGTATCACTCCAGAGGGCTGGGAACAAATACAAAGGAAGTGGAGTATCTGGGTTTCCAATTAAGCAAGGATGGTGTTCACACCATACAAGTGAACTCTGAGCGGCTGGACTAAGGGGTAAGAATTTCCCCGGTCAAGGAGAGGTCTAAGCAAACCTCTCCCGCACATGCGCAGCCACACCCACAAGTGCAGAACAATGCTAATCCGCCATCCCTGAGGAGCCCTATCGAGGGTCGAAGCGTAAGAACAATGTTGCCGCTAGCGCAGCTTCCCAGCGGCAGTCCTCGACTAGCTGGTCACTAAAGGCTTCTCGCATCTCCACCAGCCACCTGGCTGGGGCCTTGGAAGCCACTTCCCTAAAGCAGCTCTGAACGCCACCTCTTCCGCCTTTCACCGAGGCAGGACACTGCAAAGCTGTTTCTGGCCTTTCCCTCTGCCTACGTCAGAGGCAGGGGAAGAGCGGGCGGAGAGTGAAGGAGCCGGCGTTAGCAGGGACGCCAGGCACTTCCTACAAAGTCGCGCTCTTTCCCAGTCAAAGGGCTGGGAACTGAAGGCCGCTTCCCCTCTCCCACCTGAATACAATCACCATGGCGAGAAGCTAACGGTTCTTAGCTCTTTGGCTATGCTGGTTTGATCAAAAAGGCCCCCCTCCACCCTTCATCCACAGCACAACGTTGGCTCCTGGTGTCCAGAAAGACATGCACGGAAAGAACGCCAGAGTTAGCTAAAGAAATACCACAGTTTATTGAAGACTACAAATGTTGTGTTACAAGGTGAAACTACATGCCTTCCAGAAATCAAAAGCGACAGCAGGTGTGCATTGAGGCTTCGGAGGGGCTGCGCCGCTTCAACTCGAAATGGGTCAGACAGGGCCAGACACATGGGGGAGAGGGAAATGGGGGAAGGGCAAGTTCAAAGCCCAGAAGGTATCCACCAACTCATTTCCCCCAAGCCACGCAGGCCATGGCCTCAGCTCAGCAGGCTCTCCTCAGTGGTCTGGTTTCTGAAACAAGACTTCAGTGCAAATTTATACACACACACAAAACACAGCCCCCAGCCTTGGGCCAAATTAGCTCTCTGCCGTCCAGAAATGCTTGTAAGGGGGTGGATATTTTCTTCCTAAAAGGAATCAAATACATAAAAATAAATGAATTTAGAGGTTGATGAGGAATGGGATGATAAGAGCCCTCTGTGGGGTTGGGAACTGGGGGTGCTCAAAAGACTGTTATGGCAGATTTCTGAAATCTTAAGGGGAATAAAAATGTGGTACGCCATTCTTTAATATTATCAATCACCTACCTCTTAAAATTCCTGAATCTGGTCCAGCTAAAACTTAAATCTAATGTTCTCAGAATGGGGCCACTCCAAGTGAGAAAGCTTACAATCGTCCCCTCCAAGGATCACGGTGCACCTTGCTTGGTAAGAGGGGAAGCCACAAGGAGTGGGGTGCCTCAGGATTTCTCCAGGTTAAATCCAGACTCATTCCAAGTTGCTCCAACACAGTTCAAAGGTCTGCCTGGCTAGTGGTTGCTAGATCTATTGCCCCCTGTGTTCAGCTCAGCTTCCCAATCACCGAGAAGCTCGGACGACCGACCCACCTGGAGCCCACACACGGGTGAAGCACACAGAGGCAGCTCCATCCCAATCACCATGACAGCACAGCTCAGAATTCGGAAAAACCCTTGATCCCAACTCCCTGCGACTCCAACGAGCTCCTCCCTGTGTCTGTCTACAAGTCACTGAAGAAAGTGCATGAAGCCGCTACGGAAGGGGCGCAGACATCAGGTACGGGGGCCGGGGCTGGACTAGTTATCTGTGCGGCCAGTGCCCATGCAGAGGATTCCTGCCTTTCCCTCCTGCCATCAGATGTGCGCACAGACTTTGCCAAAGAGATCAGCCATACAAAGGAGGGATCTGAAGGTCCTACTCTCCCTCTGTTGGGCACTTGTATCCCATGCTTTCTCTCCACATCCTGGGTTTCCCAGCTAAGGAACAGAGAGGGGCTGCGTGAAAAAAGGAGTGAAAAGCAAACCCACCCAAGTCTGCCGTACAGCAAGCACCTCGCCTTCCGTGCTACCTACCGGTACTGGACACTCTAGCGCTCACTTCCACTGACGTCTCCGTGACACCTCGGGGCCCCTTGCCCTGCCTCCCCCGCAGAGTTCAGGCCAGCCAACAGAACAACAGCCAACACATGCCCCGGGCTATTCCCACTATGAGTGCTGGACACATGCTCTCTGTCAAGCCCTGCGGCTGCTGCTGCTCGGACAGACCCCCCATCAGTCGCACAGGAAAAACCCTCTGCAGAGCCGCTAACAGCATGCCTCAGCAGCCCCGTCTCTCGAGCACGTCTTGCTCCCTGAAACTCACTGTCACGTCCTGCAGAAACCACGGACAGCCGGGGTCAAGGGGCGCTTACCAGTGTTGTATCCGTGAGACCCATATCCACTTGGCTGCTGGAAAGGGGCGGCCGATGCGTTCACACTGACATTCACACCATGCTGCTTGGAAGAGGTAGGAGCCACCTGAAGACAAAAGGGCTAGAAATGAGGTGACGTGGTGGCCGAGAACCATCCCCTCACTGTGTCCTACTCCAGGGACTGGGCAGTCAGATGCCTACCATCCTGAGATAGGCTGGCCAGTCTGCTTAGTGAAATGGGCTCCCTACAGAGCTTTATAAAATCTACCAGTGAAGTCAAGAAATGGTAGTTCGGAGGAAGGGAAAGGGGCAAGTTGCCACAAGGAATGAAGACAGTCTGGGGACAAAGCCCTGTGGGGTCACATCTCTTATCCTCTTTAGGTAATTCTAAGAATAGGTAACCTTCATCCCAGTACCACCAACTCTAGCCCCACTCCCTCTGCCAGGCCAGCAATAGGCCAGAAGAGGAAATGTTTCTCCTCCCACATTATTAACAAGTCATCCAGCCTTGAAGGCAGCTAGGCTAGTGCCCGGGGGCTGGGATTCACCACCACCGCATGGAAAGATCAAGCCCAGGTACTCACAGGGAACACAGCAGGCCCATACTGGAAGGTGCTGGGGAGGCCCGGAACCCCTGTGTAGTATGGCAGGCTGGTGTAACTGTAGCCAGGAGGCAGCGCCGGGTTCAGGAATGTCTGCTGCGTGGTGTGGTGAGTCTGAGTCTGGTTCTGTTGGGGTTGGGCCAAGGTTGTGGCCGGGGCCGGGGAGGAGGCATCCCCACGGCCAAACTTCGTGAGGTCACCTACGACAGCAGAGACTAAATGACCTCCTGCTTTTTCACCAACTCCAGAAGACCTGACCCAGGACAATTAGAAGTTCAATTCTTCAAATTAAGTTTCTTTACGGCAACATTTAGCACTGCCAAGTGCACGCTCAGCACGGTGCTAAGTCAAGCCAAACGTCAGCTGCCTGTGCAATTCTGTGGGAGACAGACCCCGAGGACAAAGCTCCTGCATGATTTCTCCGCCCAGCCCACTCCTATCCCTTCACCTACCCCCCCCCCCCCCCCCGCCTTCCCCTGCTTCCCCTCCACGAGGAACACTCCATGCTGGACTGAGAACACAGTAACGGGGCAGGGAAAAAGCTAGGTCGAAGAGGACGACAGGTCAGGCATAACAAGAAGCATCATGGCCTAGGCAAGGCACCGAGACTGCCACTGTGAGCAGGGACAGGAGTGGAAAGGAGCCGAGAAAGGCCAGTCCAAGCACTCCGCCTCTGGGAAAGACTGGAGAAGAGCAGGGAAAACTAAGTCAAGATGTCACCCGGAACCACTGGGAGACAGCGAAGTAGGAGGAGAAGGAAATGTCCACCTTCTGCAGCATTCCAGATCTACCCACCCTGATGCATCACATCCATTCTGTACCTCCTGCCAGAGGTCTTAATTAAAGCGAGAACTGGGTCCTTCTTACAGTTTTCCCCTCCTATTAACCAGGTTTCTGCCACCAAACCCAACACACTCTCCCTTCCTTCGGCCTCATCCCAGCCATACCAGAGTAAGGGTTGCTGGCCAGGCTACCATCCCTCCCAGTCAGCGGAGTGGTGGGCGTGGGAAATGGGATGCTGTAGTAATCCTAGAAGAGAGAAATCACAGAGCAGACACTCAATGCCGCGCAGTCCCCAGCAGGAGTAACAACGGAGGTGAGAAGCACGATGTTGGGAGTGCTGCAATTTCCCCAGCCACCGATTCAGCTGGTTAGAGCTGGCACCGACTCCAAGTTACTCTCGCATACACTGTCCCCCTCGCCTGGCCACAGGCACAGTCAGACAAGGTCTACGGGTATGCCCACCAGGAAACACATCAAGGCCATCGGAACCAAGGATACACTCAGACCTTCACGTACATACCTAACAGTCTACTACTTCTGGAAGAGAGACTGCCGTCTGGAATTCAAAACACCTGACGCATATGGAAAAAGCACCCAGAGAGCTCCCAAGTACTCTGAGATATGGATCACATGAAAATTTGTTTACTTCAAAGAAATCCCAACTGATTAAAAAACAAAAAGTTACCTTCAGTTAAAACCACTTCCAAAGTACCTGTGTTCTAACAGAGCCTGAGAATCAAGAGTTTGTGTGTGGACATGCAGGCTGGGGAAGAGCTAAGCCTGTGACTTATCAACTGAACCCCTCAAGGGTAAGGTGAAGATCTCGTTCTTTTCCTAAGCTCTACACACGTACTCACCAAGGGAAATCTGGTCTGAAGCATCTGTAAGTCATCATAACCATAAACTTGTGGCTGCAAGATAAAAGTGTGTTACAGTATTAACAGGAACTGTTACCACAGGAGCAGCCCAAGGTGCTAAGAAACATGGCAAGTCATTCTTAGGAATAATACGACACAGGTTACTTCTTTCAGTTTCCTTCAAGAGGAAAGAAGTAAACTACAAAAAGATTAAGTGATGTATGAAAGGTTTTCAAACTCTCTTTAAACTATAAGCCACACTGATTCAACCAGGCCACCTGCCCGGGCAGAGAGACAGACAGAGCTGCGTGGGAGCGGCCGGCTTCACTCTCTATCCCACCAGTCTTTGTCACCCCTTCGAAAACATGGGTTAATATTTATCTCTTTCAGAAGGGTTTCACATTTTACTCTTTATTTTCTCTAATGTATGGGTACTAAGGTGCTATGTTTATTGTTAAAAAGTGTAAGGGAGGGGCCCGGGTGGCTGAGTCATTTGAGCGTGTCTTTGGCTCCGGCTCCCTGCTCTGCAGGAAGCCTGCTTCTCCCTCTCCCACTCCCCCTGGCTTGTGTCCCCTCTCTCTTGCTGTCAAATAAATAAATAAAATCTTTTTAAAAAAGAAGTGTAGGGGTACCTGGGTGGCACAGTTAGGCATCCGTTCAACTCAGTTTTGGGTCAGTTTATGATCTCGGGGTCGTGAGACTGAGCCCCATGCTGGGCTCTGTGCTCAGCGCTCAATCTCCATAAGATTCTCTCTCTCTGCTCCTCCCGCTCATGCACTCTCCCTCTCAAATAAATAAATAATCTTTTTTTTTTTTTAAGATTTTATTTATTTGACAGAGAGAGATCACAAGTAGACAGAGAGGCAGGCAGAGAGAGAGAGAGAGGGAAGCAGGCTCCCCGCTGAGCAGAGAGCCCGATGCGGGACTCGATCCCAGGACCCTGAGATCATGACCTGAGCTGAAGGCAGCAGCTTAACCCACTGAGCCACCCAGGCGCCCTCAGATAAATAAATAATTTTTTAAAAAAAGTATAAAACATTACTGGATGTTTCCTCTGTATGATATTTACCTGGACGCTCTATCTGAGGAGCAAAACACGTGTCTTTTTAAACATTTCAAAATAAACACCCTTCATCTTAAAAGGCACCACATGCACAAATTTGACAGAAGAAAACAGCAGGGGAAAAGCTACCGCTGTCTGTCGCTCTCAGATCGTCCCAGATCAGGTCAGAGAACTCTAGCTGGCTGGTCAGGGCCAGCAAAGACCCTCCAAGACAGCGCATCAATCCAACCAGAGAAAATAGTTCTCAGAGAATCTGAAAGGGACTGACTGCAGACGGACTCTCTGGCCTTTAGATTCAGAGGCTCAGAGTCCGTGTTTCACAGACAAAATACAAAACAGGAGAAATGGCCTCGGTTTATCCCTTCCTCCCTAGAAATGATTAGTTCTTCCCAAACTACAAAGATTAAAAACTTGTCTGCTTACACATGACAACTCGTTCAGTATTTTACTTAGAGGGTCCCCCTGAAGCCACAGCCGCAAAGGGCAGCCACCCCGTCTTCGTCGTCTGGAGAAGGTACTTCGGTCTCACTTACCGGGTAGGCGTGTAACAGCCCCGGAGCCATAATGTACGGATTAGGCAACAACGGCGGGACCCCTGGAGGGAGGTTGGGAGGAGCTTTTCCTAGAAAGAGAAATCACTTTTACCCTGTCCTACATTCACTTCTCATCCCTGTCCCAGAGCAGCGCCAACCACCCTCTACCTGAAGTTGTAGCAACTGAGCTCCGAGTTGAGGCTGTGACGGTGGAGTTGCTGCTGAGCCCGAGGCCCAAGCTGCTGCCGCTGCTGAGACTGGAGGAGACACTGGCCACAGGGGGAGGCGCAGAAACCGTGCTGGATGTGGTGGAGAAAGTGCTGGAGGAAGAATGGAGGTTCGCCTCACTGTCCACGCTTGTGTGCTTAAAAGAGGGGGGCGGTGGAAGACAGGACGAAACAGTGATTAGCAAAACGGGCCAGGAGAGATGCACACTCTCCTGCTGGGGAAAGCGCATCAGCTGCCCAATTAAAAAGGCTGAGGCCAAGGCGCCTGGGGGGCTCAGTGGGTTAAGCCTCTGCCTTCAGCTCAGGTCATGATCCTAGAGTTCTGAGATCGAGCCCCACATTGGGCTCTGCTCAGCAGGGAGCCTGCTTTACTCTCTCTCTCTCTGCCTGCCTCTCTGCCTCCTTGTGATCTCTGTCAAACAAATAAATAAAATCTTTAAAAAAAAAAAAAAAAGGCTGTGGCTGAATCCTGGGTGCCCTCTGCCAAAGGAGTTACCCTCTAGCTACCCATTTCCCAAGACTCGTCAGGCAGGGGTGGCTAACAACAGATCCACTGCACATCACCCTCGTCAGAGGCAGCAGAGTAAGCGGGGACCAACACCCCAGAAACCAGTGCTGGTTGGCCAAGAACTGTTCAAGTCAAAGAAATACATCCCAGTCTTCCCTCCCACATTCTCCTTCACTAGTTCAGCAAGTCCTAATGAATCTGTGTCTAAGAAAAAAGAGACTTCGAAGGAAGACTCAGCGCTCATCCTCTTCCCCCAGGTTCCTGGCAAACCAGACATCTTTGCCCAGAATGCAACTTCCTTACCCTATCAGCCTAATTCCACAAATGGTTACTCTAAATCACAAGACTAAAATTAACGATTGGTCAAAAGCTTGATGCCCAGACTCACGCGGATGATTTTCAGCGGTCAGTGTGGCACAGCCCAGACCAAGGGATGACAACAGGCAGAGCAGGAAAGGGACATTCTTGCAGCACTTGTCAGAGCACACAAAGTCCCACCCACCTCAGTGTTAAGAAACGAACAAAAAGTCACATAAAGACTCAGGAGTCAGGGATCCTGGCTCAGTGGGTTAAGCCTCTGCCCTTGGCTCAGGTCATGATATCAGGGTCCTGGGATCGAGCCCCGCATCGGGCTCTCTGTTCAGCAGGGAGCCTACATACCCCTCTCTCTGCCTGCCTCTCTGCCCTAATTGTAATCTCTTTAGATAATTAAATATTTAGATAAGTTTTAGATAATATTTAGATAATTAGATAATTGTAATCTCTTTAGACAGACAAAATCTTAAAAAAAAAAAAAAAAAAAGACTCAGGGGGTTTGGGGAACTGGCCCACAGCCCTGTAGCACCTATGGATTCTCCTGCTTCTGCCATCCCCTGAAGAGATTTCCAAGAATCCTTCTTAAGAAGTGTTAAGAAAACCACACTTCCTCTTCTGCAGTATCACACTTACCAGAAGAGTAGATGTAGAAGTGCGCCCAGAAGATGTGGATGATGAAAGGGTGTTCTGCTGCGTGGCTAAGGGGCTGCAAAGAGGAGGCCGCCATCAGCCACACTGCTGTGGTTACGGGACCCAGAGCATGCGGCAGGAACAGGGGTGAGGAGAGGAGGCGGAAGACGGGGCCAAGGAGATCTGAGATCACAGGGAGCGCAGTGACCAGCCCAAAGGAGGGAGCAGACACAGCGAGAGTGGCTGCTGAGAAGGGAGGATAGGCCTCCTCTGCTTCTACTTCCCGTGGCTTTCAGGTCGTCCACCTCGCTAACGTGGCCCCTGCCAGACAGCAGGGAGAGCTGAGGCAGAGAGCTCTGTTCCTGCACCGCACAACCCCAACGTCCAGCGCAACCCAAATCACCTGCTGTGTTGCGTGGTGGTAGCATTTGGACTCTCCTCGCCATGGCTCAAGCCACCCAAGGAGGATGAGTGCTGAGTGGCTGTTGTCAGTAAGGAAGCTGCAGACACCGTTTCGCTGAGAGGGGGGATGCCCGAAGTAGAAGGTGAGTCAGATTTCACTGCAGCGCCTGTAGCACCTGGAAATAAAGAATAAATAATTCACCTCGCCAGAGGAAAGGAGTGTCTATGAGAAGTAAAGAGACTCCTAGTCATGGGAGTCCCAGGCTGTCCCCAAGCCAAGAGTGTGAGTTATTTAATAATGGACTCTGTGTGTTTAGGTAACCCCCTCTCACTCTCTCTCTCTCTTTTTAGATTCTAAGCATTTCAGGGCACTGATCTCATTTATGCAATTAAGGGAACCAAGGGTATTATCACTATTCTAAAACAGAGAAACTGGAAACTTAAGTCTGTTTGGTATTAAATAGCAAGGCAGAACCAAATCAAGACTATGACCAAGGCCGGGGCTCTTCTCACTATAATCCAAGAAAAGCAAAAAGTGCTGAAGGGGAGGAAAAACACTACAACATAGAGGAAAAGGCCTGAAGAACACTCACCTTCAACAGATTGCGTGGTCTGTAACTGCGGGGCCTGCACGGAGCTGAAGCCATTCTGGTACAAAACAACAGAGGAGTAAGAAGCAAGCGCAAGTGGACAGGCCCAGTCAGCACTGACTCAGCTTAATTTCCACGAACAAACCTTTCAGAGAATTCTACAAGCTGACCGAAGGATTAACGTAATGTGGACTATCCCAACAGAATGACAAGAATTTAAAACGGAACGAAAACAAGGAACGCCAATGCCGTGTCACCCACGGCAGCAGAAGGCAACCCCCAACCTGCTTGAGACTCCCCAAACCCAGAAGAGACACAGCAAAGGCCTAAGTCTAGGGCCCCAGGGAGGACGGGGAAGTCCGACAGTGCAGCCCAACCAGCCAGTGCGCTGGCTGCATCTGACCATCACTCCATAGCACCTCTGGGACATGCTGTCCCCGCACTGGGCCAAGACACAGCAAGGTGTCTACTGGTACACACCCAGAAGTCTAGAACTCAGATCTTCCCAGAAAAGTAAACCATTATTTGACACTGATTCTACTACAAAGAATGAATCTTTCCTGCAAAGAGAATGGTTTCTGGCTCTGAATATCTAGGCTTGCTGAAAAGAACTTTTTAATATCACCAACCACAGAAATGTGCTTTTTCCAGCTTCTGAATCCGCACTTCTGAGGTATCCCAGCACCATTTATCAAGAAGTAAAACTCTAACACTGAAGACACTCTCCCCAATATTGTCCTAACCACAGCCCAGGGACTTGTAAAGCCACTACCTTTGCCTGAGTCAGGTCCTTTTGGGGTGATGAGGAGATGGAGCTGGGGTACCGTCGAGTCTGTGTGGACCTCTGTTCATACAGAGGACCCTGAGCATTATTTTGGGAGGTATAGGTTGTCGACTGAATTGGACCGCTCTGATAACCGGACTCCTGACTCTGGTTAGATGAAATTGTGGATGAAGATTCACTGTGGGGAATGCAGAAGGAAATATCTCAGAGAAACGAAGCAGAACAGATCCACTGATACGAAGGAAATAGTGGAGATCTTCTACTAGGGTAATTTGATTACAGTCAAAATGAAAACCTCCAGGAACAGATAAAAAAAAAACAATCTTTTCCTGACAACAATAGGCATTTCCACATCCTATATAATCGGGTGTAAACTGAAACACCTACCCTACGTTCTGCTGTTACGGGAAAAAGAGACAAAAGCAGAAAGGATGGACCACTCCTGATCCCTCTGAAACACCCTCACAGGAAACCTAAGCACGAGGAAAGTCATCTTTTGCTCATATTCATTTTAAGGACCTCTGACCTCCTGGCTCTCTCAGAAACCCTATTACATATAAGGTTACTGGTAAAACTCTCCTGAGAAGAACTTTTAAAATATTCACATGCATCAATGGCAATGATGATTCAACAGATTAGGCTAGGGCCTAACACCGCTGTCCTTAAATTCGAAGGACTAAGGAAAACGGCCGAGTCCCAGAAAGTCCTCCAGATTTGCTGTTGTTTCCGCTGGCTCTCCCACGTGGTTATCGGAGGAGGCAGGAAAGGTTCCATTTAACTTATGTGATATATCAATGCTCCATCTTTTCTAGGAAGCCAGAGACACACCCTTCTTAGGCACAAGGCACACAGCAAAGGACCAAATGTGTCAGAGGCATTGTGAGCCAGATAGCAAGGTCCTCCTGCTAAAGGTGTCACACACAGCTCTTAAGAACTGGGCGCGGACAGGGACGCCTGAGTGGCTCAGTTGGTTAAGTGGCTGCCTTCGACTCAGGTCATGATCCCAACATCCTGGGATCGAGTCCCACATTGGGCTCCTTGCTCAGTGGGGAGCGTGCTTCTCCCTCTGCCTCTGCCTGCCTCTCTGTCTGCCTGTGCTCACTCTCTGACAAAAAAAAAAAAAAAAAATTAAAAAAAAAAAAAAAAAAAAAAAAGAACTGGGCGCAGACACTCTAGCACCCAAGGGGCATCGCTCCACCTGTTCCGAGTTAGAGACAACACTGGTAACGGTATTTTGAAATACTTAGTGAAATGCTATAATCAGACACTTTTACTTTTCCTTCATTCAGCCAGAGGCTCAGTCTCTTACGAATTAAAGGAATCAGCCCGAGACTCAGAAAAAGTAGGAAAAGCCCTATTAAAAAAGTCTTATGACTGATGTGTCCTCTACCTGGCCGTGCTGGTATAGAGGCTGCTGGGAGCCTGGCTTGAAGAGGCGCTCGTGGTGGGGGCGGACTCGTAATCAGAAAGGACAGGCTCTGACCCGAACTGCAAAGCCCCGAACTGCAGGTTCAGCCCTGAGATATCTGCGGAGCCAGGCATCTCCACAGCCAGAGCAGGGATCTACAGACAGAAGGGAAGGGCTTCAGTACAACCGTACGTGACACTAACGACAGCGACGAACCTCTGCTTCCAATCTGCACTCTCCCCTTATAATCTCAGTTCCCCAACCCCATACCCGTCCTGCCCGAAGATGACACCCATCTCACAGCTCAGCTACCTTTGAAGTCAAGGAGGCCTTTTTCTTCTGTTGTTTCAATTTCTGCTGAGCCGGCTGAGGGCTAGAGGACTGGTTGTCTGACGAGCCGGGAGACATCTGCGGGGCCGAGGTGGGTTTACTCGGCAGAGGAGAAGAGGGGGGTGGAGGTGCGGTGGTGGAGGTAACCACTGCCGGTGGCTTCTCCTGAAGAAACACCTCCATCATGGTTGAAGACGGGGTGAAAGCCTGGCGTTTGGTAAAGGGGCTGTGTACGGTTGAATCATTTGGGTTCTTCAAATCTGTATGAAGAAACCCAGTATGTGTGAGACCAGACATGCTGATAAACCTCAAACACATGCTACTTTCCTACTCTAAAAAGCAGAAAACAAGACCCTCAACATTCAGTACCTCATATAAACAGGCTCTCTTTTTAGGGCTTACCCTCATTTCGGAAAGTGACCACCGGATCACACCTGTTCTAAGTTTAGCCCAATCAAGCCAGCACGACGACCCCGCCTCTGTAAGACAGGATCTAGGAACTGTCTATATTTAGGATGTAAGGTCCTAAAACAGCCAAGTCCATGAACCTTCTCAAAGGCAATGTGTTATTTTCAAACACTAAAAACCAATCTAGGGAGAACCCAAAAACCCCCAGATCAACTGAAGACTGCAACTATGTATGTGTCTAATTTTAATAAAGACATCCTAAGCCTCAACTTTTTTCTATTTCCTAGCTTTCTGAACTCAGCCTGTCTGACTAGGGAAGAGCAGTAGCCAGCTGGCTAGCCAGCTGCCCTTCTTCTGACTTCAAGACATATTCTCCACCCTTGACTCCTGCCAGCGTCTGGCACTCATACTCCCATGCTTAAAGAATTCAAGTCACTTTCCATTCTCCTCACCGTACTGCACCAGCGATGGGGACTGTGAGGCAGAGCCTATGTCCCAAGAGGAGGTGGTGGTGGTTCCAGACTGCGAATGCTGTGCCGCCAACTGGGCCAAGGCCTGAGCCGTCTTGAACTGCTCCAAGAACTGCGAGCCTGTGGTGCTGCCACCTTTGGCTTCGCCAACATCACCAAATCCTTTCCCTAACATGCTCACCTGTAGAGGAACACAGAGATGAAAGAAATCCACAGCAAGCAAATGTGTTCACTACTCAGAAAGACACTTCTCTACAGCGAGAGCCAGTGGAGATCAGACAAGGAAAGAATGTCACCAGACTGAGTACACAGTCTCTGCAGTCAGACTGCTTAGGTTCAAATCCTGGCTATGGAATCATGGAAAACTCATTTGTAACTTCTCTGACCTCATTTTCCTCACCTGAAAATAGAAATAAGAATAGTACTGCATAAAGCTGTAGGAGGATTAAACAAGTAATGTACATAAAAAAGCATTTAGGGGCGCCCGGGTGGCTCAGCCATTAAGCATCTGCCTTCGGCTCAGGTCATAATCCCAAGGTCCTGGGATCGAGCCCCACGTCAGGCTCCCTGCTCAGCAGGAAGCCCGCTTCTCCCTCTCCCGCTCACTCTGTTCGTGTTCCCTCTTTCGGTGTCTCTGTCAAATGAATAAACAAAAATCTTTAAAAAAGAATTTAACATCTAATGACTAAAAGGAATTTTTTTCCTTTTAGTTCTGAATCAACAGTATGTGATTATTAAATTAATACGAAGGTTAACATAAAATTTCACTTGAGGGTTAATGTCCTAGTCCCTTCCACTGAACAGCTGAAAAGTAACAGGAGCAAACCGGAGCCTCAGCACCACGTTGCTCTAACCAGCACAGGAGCCGAAGGAGAGGAGCTGAGGGCCTGTCAAAATGTCTGCACTGGACAATCAACGAACAAGTCAGTATGATTTGTTTGGTCTGTATCTATCCAAGTTCTATAGAGTAACCATGAAAAACAAAGCAAAATTTATTCTTAAGGCTTTGGGGAGATCTTCCCCACTCCCTACTCCTGGGTAAGCCGACCAGGCTCACCCAGAAGATGAAGCATGTGGCCTTGACTACTTTAAAACACCTTCAAGGAGGGGTGCCTGGGTGGCTCAGTCATTGGGTATCTGCCTTCGGCTCAGGTCATGATTTCAGGGTCCTGGGATCGAGCCCCATGTTGGGGTCCCTGCTTGGTGGGAAGCATGCTTCTCCCTTTCCCAATCCCCCTGCTTCTGTTCCCTCTCTCAATGTCTGTCAAATAAATAAATAAAATCTTTTAAAACACCTTCAAGGAGATTTAGAATCTGGTTTTCTTTAGGTTCTCACCCAACCATTCCATCCTGATCAACACTAAGCAGTGCTTTTTTATTCTTTTTTTTTTTTTTTAAGATTTTATTTATTTGACAGACAGAGATCACAAGTAGGCAGAGAGGCAGGTAGAGAGAAAGGAAGGGAAGCAGGCTTCCCGCTGAGCAGAGAGCCTGATGCGGGGCTCGATCCCAGGACCCTGGGATCATGACATGAGTGGAAGGCAGAGGCTTTAACCCACTGAGCCACCCAGATGCACCCCCCCCCTTTTTTTAAAGATTTATCTGAGAGCGAGCATGTACACCTGAGTGGTGCAGAGGGAGAGAATCCCAAGCAAATTCCCTACTGAGCACAGAGCCCAATGCAGGGCTCAATCTCTCCACCCCAAGGTCACAACCTCAGCCAAAACCAAAAGGGACCCTTAACTGAGCCACCTAGTTGCCCCTGAGCAGTGCTTTCTTACACAAAACCAATCTGTCCAACCCAAGGTAAGACATTTTTCCCATTACAGCCTATCTCGCAAGATTATACAAACAAAAACAAAACACCAGAAGTCGAGTTAAAAGTGTGGGCTTGTGGCAAAGAGATGATCGCATGTAGCCATGATAATCAGAAACAGTCCGCGAGTGAGACCTTCACGCTAAAGGCGCAGCACCTGAGGTAATGTTCACGTATCACACATGACAACGGGGACCTCCTATATTATTTACATATATTAAATTTTAAGGGAAATTAATCCTCTAGTATTTACTCTTAATAGGTAAGAAAATGAATAGCATACTGACCAATACAGCTAACGAGAAGAACACAATATTGACTGGTATTTTTATTTAGTTTATCATGTGACACATTAAACAGACTATTAGGATAAATGAAATATGCTGAAAAGTTATTTTTCATACCAGAGTTTGAATTAGGTTGTACATCTTTACAATCCAGATATTAAAAAGGCAATTAAAAGATAGAATGCATCACCACATTTTCCCACCATATAGCTCAGGGATTGGTGTTATTTCCTTAACTTTATGACTTTTGTCTCTAATGTTTTTCTTTTGATTTTACTTACTTATTTCTTGAGAGAAGGAGAGAGCGTGAACATACGCATACACGCATATGCGAACGAGCTCCAGCAGGCCCCCCGCTGAGCAGGGAGCCTGATGTGGGACTCGATCCCAGGACCCTGGGATCACCACTTGAGCTGAAGGCAGATGCTTAATGGACTGAGCCACCCAAGCGTTCTTCATTCTCCCTTTTTCTTTAATCCCAATGCTCTGCTCCCTGTCCCTTCTGCCCCACCTTTCCTCACCTGCCACCTTTCATATATGTCAGAACATCAATCACCAAATTACTACTAACAAATTACTACACACAAAAAGTTTTAGACAGTAGTTAAAAACTGACAGTTCTGGATTAGAGGCTAGCTCAGCACTTTTCTATCTCAAGTAATTACTATAATCCTACTACTGGAAAAATAAAATTATATGCACACACATGGTCTCTTAGCTCTTACAACTATAATATCCCTCCACCAAAAAAGATACAGATAGGAGGGGAAAAGCAAACAAAAAAAAAGTATTTCTTAAGATTTGCTGACTATTAAAAAAACTGGTCAACCCCCCCGTGATCTCCTTTTTGCTGCAAATAAAGTTTCCTTTATGTGACAACACCCCCCCCCCAAAAATTGGTTCACCACCTTTCTTTAGATTAAATGATTCCTTTACTATAACTAGTGACCTTAAGTCTTTTAACTGGATCAGCAAGTCACATGCCGTGAGTGCTCTAGGCATTAATGAACAATACCACGGCCACTCCAAACCTGCCCGGCCCTTATTCATCTTACTTCGTCTTTCCACAGCTCAGTAAGGCAGGCAAAGCAATTACTCTCAACCCTGCTTACAGAGAAAGGGATTAATAGTAAGCAGAAATAGTCACGAAAACTTCAAGTTTTTGGAAGCCTAGCTCAGAAATGTCTGGCTTAAACAAATTTATGTGGCAACTCTGTTCTATCAAAAAATAGGGAAGGATGCCTGGGTGGCTCAGTCAGTTGAGCATGTGCCTTCAGCTCGGGTCATGATCCTGAGGTCCTGGGATCCAGCCCCACCAAAGGCTCCCTGCTCAGCAGGAGTCAGCTTCTCCCTCTCCCTCTGCTGCTCCTCCTGCTTGTGCTCTCTCTGTCAAATGAATAAATAAAATCTTAAAAAAAAAAAAAGAAAGAAAGAAAAGAAGGAAGGACGGAAATAGGGAAGCACTACAACCTCCCATCAAAGTTTAATTAGAATTAAATTAGAATTAAAGAAGGATTAAAATTCGAAGTCATGTTTTTCTCTTAAGAGCAAGTAACATCCAGCACAGCGAGTATTAGGTAACTGAGCACACTCATTTCTAGAAAAGATTCAGTGCGTCCAAAACTAAGTCCTCCTCTGGGGGTGCCCCTATTACCCAATTCTACATCTCTACACCCAAGGTTGCTTAGGGGACAAAAGGGGATGCTTTACCCTGCCCCAAACCTGCCATCAGAAGGCAGTACTGCGCGTGTGTGCTGGGGTTGGCAGGAAAGTGTGGCTGGAAGACACCATGTCTCCTACTTACCATGCTGTGATGAGAAAACGTGTTTCCGGAAGCAGGCTGGGTTATGGCACTCTGCTTTGAATTACTGAACACCAAAGGCTGGGCCAGAGAAGGAGCCTGAGATGGATCCAGATTGGATGAGTCATTCTCCACTGAAGACGGTGTCTTCCCCAACAAAACAGCAAGGTCAATTCTAGTGGGGAGATGCGACATCGTGATGGATAATGACAGAATGTTCCAGCATTCCCCAACTCACAACTCAGACTACGGTTAGATCAAAATGAAGCCCTCATCAATAACACAAAGACCTGAAATACTTCATCTACCAAAGTAATTGGTGTGTAAGAACCCCTGTGTGCCAATGGTGTTGTCAACCATAATAATGTCAAATATTTTAATTTAGTGAAATCAATTTAAGGAAATAGCAAATGTTAGAATAGCAGCTTGATTATTTAGGCCAAAACTTTACAATTCTTTAGCCAATATTTTAATACTGAATACCTGTCATTAGTAGTACCTAATACATAAAAACATATACTAGAACACTGGCATCTTCTTCAAATGTCTTTGGAATCCTTCCCCCAGTTTTTATAAAATTCCCAAAGTTAATGTGGTATAATAAAAACACCTATAGTTTGGTTTTGTCTTCAGTTCTTGACAGAGAGCTCCTGAAACCCTTAAAATTTCCAGAATATCTTGTTATTCATAATAAATCTCTTTACTTTTACTTTTATTAGAGAGAATTTTTAAAGATTTTATTTATTTGAGAGAAAGAGACAGAACGAGTGGTGGGGAAGGGCAGAGGGAAAAGAGGAGACTCCCTGCTCACCAGGGAGCCTGACACAGGGCTCAATCCCAGGACCTGGAGATAATGACCTGGGCCAAAGGCAGATGCTTAACCGACTGAGCCACCCAGGCGCCCCGTAATGAGCCTCTTTGAACAAAAGTTTACAATATTGAGGTTACTCAGGATAGGAGCCCCCCCACAGAGCTTCAGGAAGGGGGCGGCCACCAGCAACACCAGGAAGGGGACTAAAGGGTTAGACCTTTCAGCCCCAGCACACTCTACCCACTCTTAGGGTTGGAAGCTGGGGTCTGCCTTTAATAGCCAATGGCTTAATCAATCGGGCCTATTTAAGTAACGAAACTTGGGAGGTTTTGTGTCCCACCCCATGCCCTGCCATATCAACTCTTCCATTTGGCTTTTGTTCCTGAGTACTGGTTGTAACAAACCAATGATGGCAAGGAACCTCTTCCCTGAGTTCTGTGAGTCATGTTAGCGGATTACTGAACTTAAGGAGGCGGCTGTGAGAATTCCCAAATTTGTTGTCAGCCAGGCAGAAGCGTATGGGTACCCTGGGCACCCATTTGCAGTTGACCTCTGAAGCAAGGCGGTCTTATGGAATAAAGGCATCTACTAGGCTGTGTGCAACTCTAGATAGTATCAGAATTGAACTGAATTACTGAACAGCTATAGCTGGTGTCAAGGAGTTGAAGAACTAGTGTCAGAAAAACAATACACATCACCTCTGGGGGTAATGGCCTCAACATCCTATTTCTAGTGCAATTCAGGACTTTCTGAGTCAACAGCTTTCATACCTAGGTCTAGAAATAATCTAAGAGGACTTCTGGGGATAAAAATATTCCTGGTAAGTGTTTCTTCCTCTACTGACCCCAATACTTTAGGGATCAAATTCGAAAAAGTTCATTAGCCAGATCCTACAGTAAAAATGATCGCTTTACTCAGTAGGCTCAGTGGACAAAAATCTTAATTATAAAGCAAGAGAAGAAGCTACTAAACAGTTCTGCAAACTCAAATAAATGAAAACATTTCCATGTTTAACTTTACCTTACTACCAGTCAAGTTGTATCATACAAAATTTTAATTCAGATTGACCTATGTAATTAAAGAAGCTATTTTGGAGAAAAACATCCTTAAAATTGTAATATATGGATTTCCCTTTAGTAGATCAACTCCTGTAAACCTATCAATCAACTAAAGAGGAACTTAGTATGCTCTGGTTACCATTACTACCAACACTATAGGAGCGTATGAAGGCCCAGTGCTACTCTTCCTCATAGCTTTCACCAGGCCCCTCCAGAAAAAGATGCTGAACTTTACCACACACTTGCCTCTGACCAGCAGTGATTGTCACATTCTCCGCAGGCAGAGGCACTGAAGACACGTTAGAGGCCGTGAAGATCTTGGTCTCTGAGAGCTGTAAAACAGAGGGATTAGTCACTCCTGGTGTTAGGTGGGCTACAGTCAGAAATCTGGCATAAATAAGGGGAATTTAACACCAAGGAAAACGGAAAACCCTCAGAAGAGAGGACCACCTACCCAGAGGAACCCTACCTGGACTGACCTCCACGCACCTTCTAGACAGGCTCAGTGATTTTATCAAAAGAGAGGGTAAAATCAAGAAACCCAGTAAAATATAATGGAGTCACATGATATGCACACCAAACTTACAAAACCTGAATACACATGCTATAGAAAAAAGAGAGAAAACCTTTTTATACCTTCTGATCAGAGTTCCCAACTCCCACATCAACCCAAACCAAATTTTAACTTCCACTCTTCCTCTCAAAGAAAGGTTACAGCCAAGACAAAGACAGAAATAAAAGAAATTAAATTCCTAGCTTTTGAGCAATAAGGGCCCAAATACTGGTGAATTAAGGTCTTTTCAGGGATAATTTCAACAATATGCAATTTTTGCCTTAATGGTGACTTTATTACACCTAGTCTTTGCAGTGTAGGTAAGCAATTGTAGGAATAACTCATTCTAACTATTCAAAACTTGATTTGGTTTTGTTTTCACTTTTTGATTAAAATCTCTTCTCTAAAAACAGGGAATCTACTCCCCCAAATATAGCATTTTCTGAAAGTTGCTTAAACAGATAAGCCAAATCTTAGAAAGTATTCACAAGGCAATCTAGCTCAGTTACAACAGAGAAGAATCACCCTCTTATGCTGGTGCATCTGAAATGTTAAGAACTCAGGCCTGGCAAACCAGGACAGTCTGACCGATTACCCTCTCGCTACATAAGCTGTCTTGCCTGAACACACGCAAGTACAGGAAAGTAGAATGAAAAATGTTAAAACAGGAGTTAATCCATGATCACTGAAAAGTAGAATTGACAACAAAAGCCTGACTGTGACCAAGAATCTGAAAAATTCTTTTTCTCAGGTACTACTCCGGTGAATTCACAGCTTGTTTGGTGCCACGTTTACGCCACCCATGTACGAGGTTTCCAGGTTGAGTCAAGATGGACGACAGCCGGCTCTACATATTCGTCTCAATTACAAAGCTGGGCTTCAAGTAAATAAAAGGGTTCCAGAACCAACCAGATTGTAAACCTCAAGATGTGGTACAGTCCCTTTCTCTTTGTACCCACCTCTAAGCCAATCCCAGGACCGTACACCAATGCCTGAATGTGAACCAAACAACAGAACTGGCTTCAGCACCACGTGCCGCCAGCGGCTGCTACTCAGCGCACCACCTGCCTGACTCCCTTTCTGGTGCCCTACCCAACCACCATCTCTTCCTGGGATAAATCCGACAATCAGATATTGGACTTACACAGGTGCACTTGCCCTTTCCATAGTCTGGTTCCACAGAGTCCTGTTCATCCCCAGTCTCCTTCATATAACATATGTGAAATGTTCTGGCTCAGAACACTATTTTGGATGTAAAAGTTTTGGGTCAGAATCTTAAGGGTGAATTTTGAGGGGTAGAAACATACCCATTTTCTATCCCTAAACACCACTTAGGGATAGAAAGCACTAGTGAGGAATAACCCGGGAATACCTACATCTTCATTCCAATCTTCAGTTCCCCATTCCTCTGTTGCAGTCCTCCAAGCACCTGGCAATAAAGGAAAAAAAAACAAACAAACAACAGTGAAGTAATTTTAAGTGGCAGTGCAAGATATGTGCAAAAAACACTAACGTATTAACATTTTGGCAGCCAAAAGTGTAGCCAGATTTTAGTAATCAGAAGGGATTCCTAGGCTCCAGAAGGAGAAAAAGACTATTTAGGAAGTGATACCTCAGAAGACGAGGGTTTTAATAAGATTATGATTTCACACCTACTTTCTGGTTTTGTCACATAGTTTTAATGGTAAAGGCAGTGGGGGTGTGGGAGCCAGGGGACAACAGACCCAATGCTCCAGGCAAACTCTTACACCCTTCAGCCCTTTGACTTAGTGGTCAATTCAAGTAAAATGGCAGCAGCCAATTTAGACGAGAACTACACCTGCTCATCCGGTAGGAGACAACTCTGGGGGTCTGGAGAAAACAGCAGTGAGAAGGAACACAACGGCCGTCACAGGCTAGCGGGACGGCAGTAAAGAAGGACCAGGGTCCAAACTAAGGGGATGGACAACTATCTGCTACAGGAACTCAATTTAAAAATGTATACTCAGTAGCAGTCAAGTTTATAGATCTCGCTGGACTAATCATAAGAAACCCTCATGGGTCTTGCTCTTTTCAAAAGACACTGGCCAAAACGGAGAAATTAAATGTGCATCAGTTATTATCCTAATCCTAATCCTACAAAGTGTGGCATCTAACCCAAGGGATCTGTGAAGACAATACAGGTGTACACTCTCCTCACGGTGGTAAAAATGAAGTCAGGATAGTTTCTATAGGAAAGGGCCATCAGCAATCAAACCACCTTCCACATCCCCCTTATTTTGCTTCATGTATACATAGATCCTCGGAAAGGGAAACTGTTCTGTGAGAGCCAGGATTCTTCCCTTCAACAAGGACCACAGTAAGAAATAGCCTGCCTATAGAAAAGGACAAGAACACTATTTTCTTCTCTAGAACAAGAGTACATATTAACTCTTAAAGTCTTTTTTCCAAATGGAGAAACCCTCTTAAAAGAACGGAAGTCTGGCATTCAGGTATTTCACTGTCACTGAAGAGAAATATTCTAAACCTACAAAACCCATCTGGAGTTATTCTAGGGCTGCCTGGCTGAGTCAGTAGATCATGTGACTCCTGATGTTGGGGTCGTGCATCCAAGCCCCACACTGCGTATGGAGACTACTTCAAAATAAAATCTTTAAAAAAAAAAAAAAAAAAAAGAAATTCTTAACTTTTAATAATGAAAGAACCTCATTTCCTAGAAAAAAAGATGTTCACTGTAATACCCCTCTCAGAGCGTTGTAACTGGACCAGGGAAATTCCAAACCACTTAATAATGGCAATGTTCTCCAAATCAAACTGAAGTCCAATCTCAGTTGAGACAAGCTACAAAGCACACTCTTCTCTCTCCCGGGTAACACTACCCTTCCTCTGCACTGACACCCATCCTGCCCTGGGTAAATGGAATCCCAATCTGTCCACATACATAACCCTGGAGTTGGAAGTGACCACACACTAACAGGCTCTCTCGAGGCAGGAATGTTTGCCTGCACTCTGGCGACTGCATCTGGGATGGGAAGGAAGAAGACGCCTACTCGACCCCAGACAGGACGTGCAGCAGTGGCCGAGAAGACGGTACTGGCGCAGCACGAAGGACAGAAAGAGTGCAAAGAATCTGAACAGGTACGAGTTTCCATTCTGTCAGCAGACAGGAGTCAATGTAAATGTTGAATCTTCATTAGTGGACAAAATTTTTCAAGAAGGGAAAACAGGCCCAGAGTATGAGGGAGAAAAGCAGAAAAGGAAAAAAGCAGGATGACAGGAAAGTTACATATCCACAGATATTTCAATTCATTAAAATCTAAAAAAATATCCGGGGCAGTGAGGCACCTGGATGCATCATACCAGGAGCAGTCTCAGACTTTCGGGGATAATCTGACCCCTCAACCCCAATGAAATCAAGTCCTGAAACAAAAAAGAAAAGAAAAGAAAAAACAACCAGTGAAATTTTGCTTATGAATGAGAACATTTGCCCCCAAAACACAATTCCCACTGTACCTGTGGATATTTTAAGGGTAGGTTTGAATTTCTTTTTAAATCAAAAAAGAGAATTTGAAGTGTGCTATCATGAAAACACAAGATCATGCACGGAAGTCAGTTCATGCCATGAAATGAACAACGGAAATGCATGAAGCTACACCCAACTCGTTCACACTAGCAAGACGGCAGCAGTATCACACAGTTTTTCATTCAGCCACAACTCAGATTTCTGATTCTAACCTCCCAAATCTGCTAATTTGAATAAGAAATAATTTCTTATTTCTAAGAATATTTTTATTATTAAATAATTAAATTTCTAAGAATAATAATTTGAATACGAAATAATTTCTTATTTCTAAGAAGAAATAAACACACACTTCATCATTCCTTGTTTCCAAACCAAATCCTTGCTGAGAACAACTAAGGCTTTCAATCTAGGACTAGGACTCCTTGCGTGATTTTCTATCCACAACAGAAAACAAATCCCTTAATCTCCATAATGTTTTGTGCCAATGATAAAAAACCAAATGTCCAAGAACTAGAGCTCAGAAACAGTAACTTTTGTTACTCAGACTGCTACCACTGCCTCTACAAAGCCATCAGGAGATGAATGAAGAGCAACTCATTCATCCACCTCCAAAGTAATAAAGACATTTCTTAGCCAAATGTCTAGGGAATTAAAATGGATCTCCATCTTGTCCATAACTCCACTTCAGTCTCCACCAATGGGAAAACTGTATCCAAGAGGCACTGATGACAGTGTGCTGAACAAAAGGCAAGAAACATTCAGGACCTAAGGTCTCACATCTCGTCAGCAGCAGACGAACTGTTTGTGCCAAAGACCCTCCCAAAGAGAGAGAGAAAGATCAACAGTCTTTGAAAAAGGGCAAGGCAAGTAAATAGATGGAGTAAAGAGCCTAATTCATGTTCTGCTACTGGATCATTCCTCCCTTTACAGGAGAAAAGGGTCGAGAGCTCTCCATGTGCCAGCTCAGCTGTAAGAAGTTAGTGATCGCGTAAGAATAAAACACTCTGGAGCCTAGAAGCCGTTCTTATTTAAAAGGGTGAAAGTTAAAAAAAGAGAAAGAGAGAGAGAGAGAGAAAACCATCTTTTACTCCCTAACAGCTCTTGGTATATCCCACAAACCTAAAATATCCTTAAATATATAGAGCCTACCCAGCTACAGACACCGAAGTCAGCTAATGACAACAAAAAATCGTATTTAAATCCCCTTAATATGGGCGCCTGGGTGGCTCAGTGGGTTAAGCCGCTGCCTTCGGCTCAGGTCATGATCTCGGAGTCCTGGGATCGAGTCCCGCATCGGGCTCTCTGCTCGGCAGGGAGCCTGCTTCCTCCTGTCTCTCTGCCTGCCTCTCTGCCTGCTTGTGATCTCTGTCTGCCAAATAAATGAATGGAATCTAAAAAAAAAAAAAAATAATAAATCCCCTTAATATTCTTCCACGTTCAGAAGACTATCCAATAAATAGAGCTAGAAAGATACAATTTCCCCTTTCCCCAGATACTGAAATTTTCCAAAAATGAAGGGAAAAAAGATACTACCTCAATGCGAGAAAACAATTAAGCTGTTAGTGGGTTTTGATTCTAGGCCTTTTAAACCTCTACAAGTAGTGGCTCAATTAATTAATTAATTATGGATACCTTTTCTGAGAGCAAAGCTAGACACTCTAACAGAAACCCTAGGAAATGCATGTGGACCTAACGGCAGCCACACAGGGTGACAGAGCATGGGCTCTGAGAGTCCAACAATTCTAAGTTCAAATACTAGCAATTTCACAACCACCCTTTCAGTCTGCTTGTCATCTGAAGATAGCGACTAGCGTCAATCTCACAGAAGAGTGACGAGGCCAGGTGATACAGCATGATTAAGTGCCCACAGGCACACAGACAGGAAGAGAATATACACAGTACTTCGATGGCCATCCCTCTCTCTCCTATCTCTGCACCCAAAAACTATTCCTCCACTTTTTAATATGATGATAACCTCAAAGTAATTATTTCCTTAGGTTTTAGAGACAAGAAACAAGAAACGGTCACTCACTCGTCCCATCATCTGGTTCGAAGTGGCCAGTGTTGTTCCACGTACTGCCGCCGCTGTTAGTGCCATAGTTATCGTCGGTACTGGCCGGCTCTGCGTAATCAGCGGGGTTAAAGGTTCTGGGGGTGGGGGGGGAAATGCTTAAAAGAGTCTCTGAGCTCTAAGCAGCACCAGCAAAAATGAACTCAGAGAGGACGGCCACAAGAACCCTGACTTTGCCCTAACAACAGATCAAACCAAGCCCCATTCTATAACCCTATATACGTCTACTTCCCTCACTTATCAGCCTACCTAAAATCCTATGGTATAATCTCAATTTAGATCTACCATCTGTCCTGGATTAGGACATCAAGAATCCTAGTAAGAAGCGCAGGTCATGACCCCAGGGTCCTGCGGTAGAGCACACTGGGCTCCCTGCTCCACGGGGAGCCTGCTTCTCCCTCTGCTGTGTTCCCTCTCTCGCTGTGTCTCTGTCAAATAAATAAAATCTTAAAAAGATAGTAGTAATAATAAAATCCACGTAAAATTTTGGAAAACAGCAGGTATATGCATTCAAATGAAGCTATGTGATGGAGAGAATGACCCAGGTGGGGGATTCTCATCTCTAAGCCCGAAGTCTACATACCTATCTGAGTCAAACGGTCTAGAAATTTTTCTGATCACAGTTCAGGTAGGGCTGCCTATTATCCTCAGGATACCAGGTATCAGCCGCTCTAGAATATTACAGTGGTGCTCAGGGGAAAAAAAAATTAAAGACTTCGGCACCAAATCAATGAAACTTACCCCATTCCTTGAGCAGAAAACCTTCCTCCTCGTCTACCAGAGCCACCTAAAGAGAAAAAGAGAAGAAAAAAGACTATTTTAGAAGCTGATATAAAACTACCTTGCTAAATGAGACAACTCTGCCACAGTTAACTGGGTGGTATTATGAGATGTTCTCTCTCTCACCCCACAGTGCAGTTAATATACACCCCAGGAAGACCACCATTACTACGGACAGACGTTTCCTTTGCTGACCAAATGCTGGTCCTTAAGCAAATACATTAACATCAACAATAAACATTAAAGAAAACGACACCTGCCTTCTTTCCCGCTGCCCCACTCAGCAGGCTCTGGAATTTGCAGGACATCTCAATTAAGATAATGAGACGCCATGTGAATGTGCTTGTTTTCAAATGAAGCAGACCCTAAAGAGCTAACAGTAACAGTAACCCTGCCCCCCATTCTCACCCCCACCCCTCAAGAAATTGATCACCTCTGCCTCGGCCACGTCCTCTTCTGCCTCTTTCTGTACCTCTTCCAGAAGGCCCTCCACTCTTGGTGCCATCTAATCCGTTTTCCTGACCCCGAACTAAAATGAAAAACACAGCCAGAGCAGAGTCAATAGAATTTATCTAAATATGTAAATGGCATGTATAGATGGTGGTGGGGAGTCAAAAATGAGGAAGAGAAAATGAGCTGGAAAGATGGGATATGATGGCTACTCAGGGATGAGCCACAACAGAGAGCTGTAGGTTATACAACTTCACCAATAACTGCAGAGTAATTTCATGCCAACCGGGTAGCTGCGGCTGGAAAACGCTACCTGTACGCGGTACCAAGGCCTCACAATAAAGAGTGGGAAGAACAAATCAAAAGGATATTATGGTTACTAGGTCCAGCCTAGCAGCGTTCTGACATCCCTGAAGTCCAGACATTACTGACCCACAGCTGGTTTTGTTAAAGCCCCATGCATACACTCTCGTCCACGGCTGGCACCTCTCCCTCGTCTTGGTGGCCCACCACGTCGCCGACTATAGTCTCTGTCACGGTCTCGATTTTCTTTGCCTTCCTCGTTGGATTCCGTTTGGCCACCATCCTTCTGTCCGGAGACTCCCTTCTTCTTCCCGACCATCTCCCACGAATGCTAAAGGGCAGAGCATTCACGTGGAATCAATATGGATTGCTATCAGGAAATCACAGATAAAAGCTGGGAAAACGGTCAACCCTTTTCCTCTCATCATCCAAGTCTAAGATACTTCCACTAATTTATGTCCTGTTTAAATGGAGGGTACAGACTACAATCTCAGTACAAATTCTACACCTATCACTGAAAAACCGAAGTCCTTTATTGTAGGGGAGGTGCTTATAGCTAATGGATCGCAGGGATCACTTCTATAAGGATCGCCAAGATCTGGATCCAGAGCAGTCACTTGGCAGATCAAAGGACCTAGTTATTGCTCCCTATCTTTCAAGGGTATTTCCAGGGCTGAAAAAATTAATTCCCTTTGGATTCAGTGACTCTCAACTTTTTACAGTCTTATTCCTGTCAAAGCAGAAAAGAACTAAAAGTTTCTAAAGGTTGACTTTGAATTCAGAAGGAACAAACCACATCGGGCTCCTAGGCACATTCTCTCATCAAGCAACCAGAATTCAGGAGGAAAACAACTGCGCCTACTCATCACCACCCCCCAACCCTCCAAACCATACTCTCTAACACACACACCAATTTCCTTTGCTAAAAAAGACCAAGTCAAGAAGACACAGCCCTGGCCCTGAGACATGTGGACTATAGGAAACCTCTATTCCAGGTTTTACACACTGTGTTCTCCCTATCCTTCCTGAACTGATAATAGTCCAATTAAACTTTCTCCAAAGCACGGTAATCTGTGATTCATTCCACACTGCAGGACAGAAAATCTGTGGTAAGGAAAGTAAGCCAGACCATCCTGCAAAAACCTCATTCCTAAGGAAATGAGTTTTATAAATCTGAAGTTTTAAAAAAACACCCCTCAGGGCTCCTGGGTGGCTCTTGTTAAGCGTCTGCCTTTGGCTCAGATCATGATCCCAGGGTCCTGGGACCCAAGCCCCGCATCAGGCTCCCTGCTCAGTGGGGGAGCCTCCTTCTTCTTCTCCTTCTGCCCATACTTGTGTTCCCTCACTCACTCTCTCTCTGTCAAGTAAGTTAAATCTTTAAAAAAAAAACAAAAAACGAAACTCTGGATTCACGCATATTTTGCAGAAAATACATACAAATAAAAATTCCCAAACACCAAGACCACCAGATCTTTACCACCCTAGTTCCCATCTTACTCAAACAACAAGGACCCAGTGCTCAGCAACAGCTATCCAATATCTAGTAACTTTAAAGAACAGCGACCAAGAACAATATGAAATGACTATTAATTTTTTCAGGGCCAATTAACATTACGGTCACATAGAATATCCTTCTTTAAGGGAAGCATGCTGTAGAGTATTTTATTTATGATGACTATAACTTACTTCCAAATAATTCCAAGTGTCCACCAATGGATGAATAAACAACATGTATCATATCCATATATTGGAATACTGTTCAGTCTTAAAAAGGAGTGAAATTCAGACACACAGCCACAATACGGATAAACTCCGAAAACACTACACCAAGTAAGAAAACATAAAAAAAAAAACAAATACTGTATGATTCCACTTACATGAAGTACCTAGAATAGGCAAATTTATAAGAGACAGAAAATAGAAGGTTACCAGGAGCTGGGAAGATGGGGAAAGAGGGAGTTATGGAGGGAGTTATTGTTTAAGAGATGCAGTATTTGTTTGGGAAATGGAGAGTCCTGGAAAGGCATGATGCTAACGGCTGCACAACACTGTCAGGGTACTTAATGCCACTGAATTATACACTTCAAATAATTAAAATGAGGGACGCCTGGGTGGCTCAGTCGGTTAAGCCACTGTCTTCGTCTCAGATCATGATCCTAGGGTCCTGGGATCGAGTCCTGCATCGGACTCCTTGCTCCACAGGGAGCCTGCTCCTCTCTTCACCTCTGCCTGCCACTCTGCCTGCTTGTGCTCTCTGACAAATAAATAAAATCTTAAAAAAAAAATATTAAAACGATAAGTTTTAAATGTATTTTACTATAATTAAAAGAAGTTTTTAAGTTAAAACCTCAGCTTAAAATTATAGGAAAATCATAACCACAATTCTGAAGAATCTACAATAGTTCACTATTAACTTTTTAAGAAGATTAAGGACCCACCCAGGACTCAGCAGCTCCTTGCCGCCTACTCTTCCAGTCTAAGCTCATTCCACACCACAGCTGGTAGGTCATTTTATGCTCACAGTAGCTTCAATTCCTAAGTTACCGTACCCCTATTATAACTGAATCTGCATCAGGAATCCTGGAAACTAGACTCAGAACAGCTTTCAGAGTTTTCAGCTAGTTTGTCTTAAAACCTGGCAAGCTTCAGAAACCTGTCACCTTTCCCTTCTCTATGGCATGTATCAGCAGCTGGCGCTACCCAGGTTCTGTAAGGAAAAGAAATTACCATGACCTTCCCAAAGGCACTGCCAGTTTTCTGATATGACCTCACCCACCCAAAAACGTCCAACATCCCGACAGCTGACATTACGCCCCACTGGTTTCACTAGCAGCTAGTTTATTTGTAGGATAAGCCTACATTTTCCAGCTTATTTTCCTTTCTGATATTGTGAAAGGTTAGCTTCATAGCATTAAGCAGAAGATGATGGAAGGTGAAACAAATGTGACTTGAAGGAGGGAAGGAAGGTGGGAGGGAGGAAGGATTCCAGACTTTTAAAAGGCATGAGTTCAGTCCCACCTCTTCCCCGCACCCAAGAATCTTACACAATTATTCTAGAGTAAACTCAAAGTGAGCCAAAGGCACTATTATATGATTATCCAGACAGTAATTTTCAAATAAGATAAATAATGTAAAATCTAAAACATTTTTTTTAAAGCAAACTTTACACCCAACATGGAGCTTGAACTCACAACCCTGAAATCAAGAGTCACAGGCTCCCCTGACTGAGCCAGCCAGGATCAAGACCACACTTTTTAAGAAAAAAATCCACAAATTTAAATTCAACGACTAAAAAAAGTTTTCCACTATTATTTCCTAATGTCTCAAGGAAACTGACAAACCTCCAACATTTAGCTAATGTGACACTGTAACACCAGTAAGCTGATCTCTCTAAAAGTGACTTCTGGTTATCTATCCCAACCAAAGATCCCCAGAGTAAGACCACGTAAACGAAGATTACTTTAAAATGATACACTGCTCGTTAAAACAATAAAGTTCTCTGCTAAGCACCACAGGCACATCCCAAAGGTTAGTAAGGCAGAACACCTGTTCTTAAGGGACTTAACAATTTGGGACAGTGATAAGACAAGCACAAAAATATAAAGATCTCATTAAGTGGAAAGGAGAAGAGGTGAAATTCTAGGGCAAGAGGTCCTCCAAGATATCCCCTATCATCTCCAGGGACGGTCAAAAAGGCTGTTAACAACCTCTCTACTACCTCAACAGAAATAACTTCAAGCAATGAAAATGTATTGTAAAAGGTAACACTAATGAGAATGTCTTGAAATCAGAATCCACTAGTTTGTGTGACTTTATTCAACAGCAATACAACAGATGAGCAGAATGTTCTATAATTAGTAACTAAGGCTAACATATAGCATCCCTACCTAATTGAGAACCCAGTCTGGAAAATACTCAATAGCCTAGAATGAATGATTTATTCTAAGTAAATTAAAAAAGACAGATTTTAGGTCTCCTCCTACTTACTGTATATAAATTTTAAGTATTCGTAACCCACAGCAAACAATCTCCAGGGCAGTTCTCTGCTCCATTTGGAGAATAAAGTACTCTCCTTTATTTATTTATTTTTAAGTATTTTATTTATTTATTTGACAGAGAGAGACAGTGAGAGAGGGAACACAAGCAGGGGGAGTGGGAGGAGGAGGAGCACACTCTCCGCTGAGCAGGGAGCCTGATGTGGGGCTCGATCCCAGGACTCTGGGATCAGGACCTGAGCCGAAAGCAGACACTTAACGACTGAGCCACCCAGAAGCCCCTAAACTACTCTCCTTTAAGCTGAGTTACTCTACTTGCTATTTTTAGAATATTCTGAGCTTCTCAGCCAGGGACCCACTTTCTAGAATGCTCCATTAACACTCTACCGTATCTGGGTTTCCTTCCAGTAGGACATTGATGGCTCTGTTGACATCTCCATTGCAGTCATGCAAAGCAATGACACATTCATCCTGGTTCTTGCCTGTGATATCAATCAACTGAAAGAAAAAGATCAGCAACCATCAAGAACAAGCTTGCACTCCTCACAAAAGGAAGCCAGGTGAGCAAGGGAAAAGGGAGAAGACACCAGTTGAGCCTGAAGGAACCCCACACTTAAAAAAGCAAAATGTGCAGAATTTTGGTATTCTAGTTCGGTAAGCAAAATGTTCACCTTTGATTAGGGATGGGGCCAAGGTATTTATGGAACAATCAAACAATGAAGTATCTAATAGGGAATCAAACCCAGAAGCACACAGGCTTCCCCACACCACAGCTTCTACAATTCCTAGACGGCACAACTGCTCAAAGTTGCTGTGAGAAACGGCATCAACAAAGTCATCCAATAAACAAGAAGTTAAAATTAAGAGAAAACCTTTTCGAACAAGGTCGCTGTCCAAAGCGGGACGGTAAATCAGAAAACAAAAGCGTGCACTTACTGGCTTAACCTGTTGTACTTCAGGTCGTAATTCTTTCTACACCTACAGCCCAAAGGACCCTGGCAGCCATCTGTGACATTCAACTCTGCGCTAACCCTGGTGTCTTTCCCCGCCGCTCACAGCAAATCGGCAGTAAACTCACTTGTTTCACCTTCTCCTCAAAGTCAGCGTCGTTATGGTCTGAAATCATCTGTGCAAGTCGAATTTGCTCCGCAGTGGCCTAGAAGCAAAACAAGTTCAAGAAAGCATGATCGAGAGACAACAGTTTAGAGAAGGAAGAGGGACTTATATAGTCAATAATCCACCCCACCTTCCAGTCCAATGTCCTTCTCCTCGTTACAAATGACCAAGTGGTAAAATACTAACGTCAATTAAGATGCCTAAATTTGCAAAATGACAAAACAAAACAAAACAAAACACTGAAGCTATTAGTATTCCACTCTACGATCCCTAGAAAACCAGGGAGCTTTTCCACCGATGTTCACAGTTAAAGCAGGTCCTGTTCGGGTATCACAGTGCCTTTTTGAAACGTTTGTGCCTTAAATAATTCATATTTATTTGCAATGTCACGTGTAAACCCTGTTCCTGTTTCTGCAAGGACCAATGCCACCTCCTAATCTCTAGGGCTGAGAACAACGTTAAGATTTTGTCTGAGGGAAATGCTACCTTACAGATACAAAGCCCAGAACCCATTCTTTCCAAGTCTCATGATGCCGTATGAAACAACAAAAAGGAAGAACACTGCATCATGGCGTATCATTAACAGTCATCAAGCCCTAAGTAAAAAGAGCCAAAGACTAGAAAACAAGAAGAAAAAACCCAAACCAAGAATCCAAGCACAGAATACTGCTGCACTGGATGGAAACCAGTAACAACCAGTAATGCTACCAATAAATCCATATCCCTTGGGTTCTTTACCTGTGGCCGCTGCTTGTGCTGTGTCTGGTTTTGGTTTTGAGGTTGTTCCCAGTTTCCCCGGGCTCGGTTAGTGCCCACCGACGTCATCATTTACAGTATATACAAATAACAGTATTTACAAGGTAGAATACTGAAAGATTTAAAAAAAAAAAAAAAAGTAATTTAGATGTTAAATATGGGCAAAATGTTTTCAACTTCTCTTTCATCAGCATCTTCACCAAACACTTTCATTTCTTTAAAAGCAACAAACAAGAAAATTCATCTGTTCTTAAAACATATTTAGCTTGATAAATTCCTTAAGGAAGAATGGCTATTAATCCATTTCTGTAGAACAAAAAATATATAAAGTATGTGTTAAGTCCTGGTTATTTTTTTAAGATTTTATTTATTTATTTGACAGAGTGAGAGAGATCATAAGTAGGCAGAGACAGAGGGGGAAGCAGGCTCCCCGCAGAGCAAAGAGCCCAATTTGGGGGCTGTTCCCAGGACCCTGAGACCATAACCCGAGCCAAAGCAGAGGTTCAACCTACTAAGCCACCCAGGTGCCCCCAGTGATGGTTTTATTTTTTATTTTTTTAAAGTTATGGGCACAGTCTGGTTACTAGCCCCCTATACATAGGTTTTGTGAAGTTTTGCTATCTTGGTAGCCAAGGGAAACAATGTTGATAATGAAAAGCCTCTACATGGAAATATCTAAAGTCCCTTTGACAGAAGGAAAGATAATCAGCAAAACCTGGAAACAAAAGCTTTCCAGGAAGGGGATTAGTCTACACTCCAAATAAAAGCAATTTAAAATACTGTACTCAGTCTACCTACAGAAGCACTCCTACCTCCCTTTACAACCAGTTTATGTAAGTTGCATGCGACCTCCATCACTTGGGAAAGGACAAGCAAAGTCTAGCCTTTCTCCCTCAAGTTTTGTCTTTCCTCATGCAGTGGGAGCCTGTGTAACCTTCAACAATGCAAGTATTAGCCCCAGTGACTGCTCAGAATCTCAGTCAGTTCCCCAGATAATTCAAACACAGTTTTCCCAGCTATTTCTGTTGCCTCCTAGTCCACAGTTCCCTGGCGCCAGAAATGCAAAAACTCTTCACCACTCACCTTAATATACAGAGAATCGCAAATCTGTCCCAAACCAAAAGTGTCTAGCACAAAGTTTTATTTGGAAGAAAGGGCTTCTAGGATTATCTTTTTCTGTTTTGTTTTGTTTTGTTTTGTTTTTTAAGAAGAGTTAGGATTTTATTTTTTAAGATTTTATTTATTTGACAGAAAGAGAGAGCACAAGCAAGAGCAGTGGCAGGCAGAGGGAAAGGGAGAAGCAGGCTCTCTGCTGAGCTGGGAGCCCGAGGCGGGGCTTGATCCCCGGACCATGACCCAAGCCAAAGGCAGATGCTTAACAGAAAGAGCCAACCAGGTGCCCCTCGGATTATCATTTTAAACTTGAGACACTATTTCCAGCAATGGGACTTTGTTGAGTCTTTAAAGAGACAGAGAACACACAGGGCCTTCTCAAAACCAGAACAGTTTTTGTTATTAACAGTTCTAGCAAGCGAGGATTCTCCAGAACTTAAGTTCCCTTCGTTCATACTTTGCTTTGTAACACCATCTCAGCGGCTGCATTTAGTAACAAAGAAAATATCCACCACATGACGGAGCGCTCAAAGTAAGATGTTACTCTGCATTGTTTTATTCCGTCCCAAAGAGAGTAAGTTTATATTTTCTGCTCTACACATAATTTTTTTCATTAATGAAACTTTATATATGGGGTAATGTTAGACCACTCAAAAGACACTGCTGAATTTGAGGGAGAAATAAGTTGGGCTTCTAAAGAAATATAGTAGGATTATTAAGGAAGTGAATTTCATTGGTTTTTTTGGGTCACAAAGAAAGCTAACTTCCCTGTGGATAAAGTCTTCACCAAGTTGGATCAACAGGATGCACAAGTCTTTGTGTTTTTTTGATACAGTCATTAAGAATTTAGAGTTTTACATTCTCTATCGCCAAAATTTTTAAAGAAATCCCGGAGCTAATTCTTTAACCACTACCTCTTCTCCCTACACACATGCACATGTGCACACAAAGGCCTGTAAATATTTTTAGCTAGTAGAGGATTATTTGCTACACAGTAGTCCATTTTCCCAAACTGGCATTATAGCCAAGTATCATCACTCACAAAAAAAACAAGTGTTCTTTCACCAGTACCGCTGGATTCAAATCAAAGAGAAAAATTAAAACTGGATGAAAACTATTATACTTACTAATTGACTCTAAAATGAAATTTCTAATGTGAATAAATGCTCCTGTAATTTACAATTACTGACTGCTTTCTACTTCTGTCGTGATTCCAACCGACGAGTAGAAATAATACTAGATAGGAATTGCGTGACTACCAGTAGGGATGACTGCACACGCTGTACCTGCGTAAATACATTAACGAGTTCTCTTGAAAGGCTCATAACTACTGACGGGAAAAAAGAAATAGCCCTGATCAGTCCGGCTGTTAACTTCCATTTCTTTCTTAGAAGTGCTTTGAAATGTGTGACTAAGAAAATTTTACCACCTAGGTAGGTAACCACACTGCGCGACAGGTCAAAAGTGAGTGATCTGGGATCACCAGAGGGCACAAAATTAGTAGCCTTTTAGTAGCAAGCAGAGACACATACCTAGAGTTATCACAGTGGAGGGGAGGAATCTTGTTAAGTACTTTTCCTTAGAAAATAAAAATATTTTACGGGAAACACAGGAGAAGTGTTGGGAGACCAAGCGAACAGCGCAGGAACAAATACTGGTTTCAATACAGGAGTGCCCTTGACCATCTTTTGAAAACCAGCTACTTGAAAAAATAGCCAGAGAAATTTTACAGAAAAAAATAAATAACAAGTATTTATTGAGTAGCTACTATGTGTCCAGTACTTCAGGAAATACAAAAGCAGTAGGACTTGGTTGCTGCCCTCAGGGAGCTCACAATCTAAGTTGAGGAACAATTCAGACACTCTGAAGCTGGACTGGGGCGAACAGGGCTTGCTACCTGTAACACAACTACTAATTCCCCTAGAGGCTCTGTGGAAATGACCCCAGCATCCCCTTCTCCACACTCTCGAGTCTAACTTTAAAGAGTGCTTGCCAGTTAGGACACACTTAGCAAAGAGGGGCTTCAAAAATCAGAGACAGAACAGTACATCTTAAGGTCTTGCATCATCAGTTCTGGGCCAGCAACACTTGCTGTCCGCCGCGGAAACAATCACCGGCATGCGCTACTCTTTTAAGGACAATGGTGTAAGACCTCGCAGCAGTTTACCCACCCACGAACCCATACATGACCCGCACGCTTGTTCTCCAGGAAGACTGGTTGTCACTGTCCCCCGTCCCCCCCCAAGTCACATCGTACACCCCCGAGCAGGATACGGGCGGGGAAAGGTGGATGGAGAGGACACCAAAAAAGCATTTCTCCATCTAACACTCAGGGACACTCAAAGGCGAAAACGGTAACAATGACAACAAAAAAGGCCTGTTACTGTGGTGTTTTTCCTTCCCCCACAGCCTACACCAGAGGCGGCTACTTTCGAGACCGGTGGACGAGCAGTCTCCTGTTTGTGCCATCAGTCTGCAAAGCAATTTAGGGACTGTCCACAAAGTGAGGGTCTTTAGAAATTCGGAATTCCTGTCCGATTACGGGGGGAGGGAGCACACACCCCAGGGCTCTAGTGACGTCCCTTAGGCGTAATACAGCCTACGGGGGTCTCCCCGTCCAGCTTCCCAAACACAGCACAACTGTTCGGGGCACCCCAAGCTACAGCATGGACAACAGCAAGCCAACGACAGCAGCCACGCACACGTCCCCAAAGCCGGGGCGCTGCGAGAGAAGGAAGGGCAACAAGAGGCGCTGACAAAGAGGCTGGGAACGGAGAGGGGACGCAAGCCCACGCGTGGAGGATGGGAGGCTCACCCCGCTCCGCGCCACCTCGGGAGCTCCCGGGGCCAATCGCCTCCTCACCTCCCACCCGGAACAAATTAATCCTCCGCACTCCAAACTGAGGGCCACATGGGGGAGTTCGGGGCAGCTCCACCCGCCGCCCCCCCCACCCCGCCACCCCCAAACCAGGCCGGATCCGGATCCGAGGAGGCCCGCAGCGGGCTGGGAAGGGAGGAGGCCCCCTCGTCGTCTTCACGGGCAGCGGCCAGAGCAGAGCAGGCCCTACCTCAGGCGGGGCCCAGGCCGCGCTCGCTCGCGCTCTTCCTCGCTCTCCCCGCTCAGGCTCTAGCCGCATGGCCCCCCCCTCCGGCTGCCCAAGCCCCGCCCCGGCCACGCTCCCAAATCGAGGCCCCGGCTCCGGCGCGGCCCAGTAGGCCGCAAATCCAACCATAAACAAAACCCCCGGCGGCCGACTCGAGGGGGGGCGCCGGGCTCGCACGACCGGGAGGGGTGTCCAGTGGGGGGAACGCACGGGGCGGGGGGCCTACGGGGGGGGGCGCGCCGGCGAGGTAGGGGAAAAGGGAGGGAGGGGAAAGGGAGACCGCGGATTTAAAGGGGCCGCGGACAATACCCGGCCCCGCCGCGCTGCCGCTGCCGCCGCCGCCGCCGCCAACGCCGCTGCGCTCCCAACTTTACCTCAGTCTCCTCCACACTGACACCCCGGGCCGCGCCGCCCCTGTCACGTGATGTGAGGTTCCCTCCTCCCCACCCCCTCCCTCCTTTCCCCTCTCGCGCTCGCTCTCGCGCCTTCCCCCTCCCACTTGCCTGCCTGCGTAACCCGGCACGTGACGCGAAAAAGGACGCGCACGCAAGCGTGCGCGCACCACTCCGCCACGAGCCGCCGCGCTGCGCTGCGGCTCCGGGCGTCAGCCCCGCCTACGCCGCGTGACGCACTGGCGGCCTCTGCTTCCTGTTCCTGCGTCGCTCGGCGCCTCTGCGCGCGCAGCCCGTGGGGCCGGTGCGGGCCTAGGTCACGTGCTGGGGGGTAGCGGGAAGGCGACGGTCCTTCTTGGCTGCCCGTCCGCCATGTTTTCGGGCCGGGTCAGCCTTGGTCTTTCCCCGTAAGGAAATGGCCGAGAGGTTTCAGGGAGCCCGGGCTGACGAGACAGGGCGGCCCGTGACCCGGAGCTGTGCGCAGGGGGGAGGGGGGGCGCGGCCATGGCGTCCGGCAGTAACTGGCTGTCGGGGGTGAATGTCGTGCTGGTGATGGCCTACGGGAGCCTGGTGAGGAGACCCCCCGCCCCGTCCCGCCGCCGCGTCTGGCCCCGTAGGGGCCCTTGTCGTGGGCGTCCCCCATCCCCGCCTGCCGCGCTCTCAGCTGCGCCTTCTCGGCGCCTGGACTCGGAGCCGCCTCCAGAGTGCGCGGGGACCGAAGCCGCGGCCCCCTCGGCCCCGGCCCCGCCCCGGAGCGCCCCTGGGAGCTCCACGGGGGCCTTAGGGACCGAGGCGTGCCCCCTTGTGGGTAACTGTGCTTTACTAAGGCGCCCTCCCGACACCTTCCGGACAGGTGTTCGTGCTGCTGTTCATCTTCGTCAAGAGGCAGATCATGCGCTTCGCCATGAAGTCGCGGAGGGGCCCTCATGTCCCTGTGGGGCACAACGCCCCCAAGGTAGGTGCTCGCGGCCCGAGGCGGGCCGGGAGGGGACTGCGGAGGCCGGGCTTCCCCGGCGCGGCGCGGGGAGCGGGAAGGGCCGGCCGCGGTGCGAGCTGAGGCCCCGCGCCGCGCCTTCCGGGGCGGCTCTGCTTGCGGGTGGGGCGGGGGGCGACGTCAGCCCCGGATCCGGACGGGCTGCGGAGGCCGACGCCGCGCGGCGTCTCGGAGCGTCCTCCTCGGGTGCCGCTGCCCTTCCTGGCCCCTGCCCCGCCCGCTCGCGCTCGCTCTCCAGTAAGTCGGTCAAATCTGGGGAAAAAAGAAACGTTTGATCTGCGCCCAGCTCTGTGCACGCGCGAGTCCCGCGGGCGGACTTGCGGGTTTTCCGCCGGGTCCGACGGGCGTCTGAGCCCGGACCTGTCCGCGCCGGGCGCCTGGGGGACCCGCCGCGCCTTCTCGGGGCTCGCCCTGGGCGCGGCGTCTGGCTGGGGTCGGGCCGCAGGGGCTCGCTGTCCCGCGCTCAGCTGTGCGCGGCCGCGCTGCGGGCCGGCGACGGCTGCCCTCGCCCTCCTCCCCGTGCAGGCGCGCGCTCCTGTCTCTCCTCGCGTCCTCGTGTTTTTCTAGAAACTGTTTCCCGGCAGATTTGATGTGTGTCCCTTTGTCTAATGCCCAGTCTCCCCTCGACGGCTTCGGGAGCGCAGGTCTGTTGCCCACAGTAAAGGCAGGGCCAGTAGTTCGGTACTGAGTGCCACGGCCGCGTTCCCTCAGCTCCGAGATCGGTGCTCGCCCCCCCGCGGTGCTGTTACTCTTCCTGGAGTTGTCGGCCGGGGTCCTCCGCGGGCAACCGGCAGGAAGGTGTTGTGGCCTGACGCCTGGAGCAGCGCTGCTTCCACATGCCTCAGTTCTCCCAGGTCCACCCGCCCTCCGGACGAGGGGTGCGGGGCCGGCGTCCGGCACCTCACGGTCGAGTCACAACTCGGAGGGTTTGAGAGGTCCCTGGACCGGACGAGATTCCTTCCGCTTTAAAGAAGTCTCGTCCACATTCTCGCGTGTGGCCGGTGGACGTGCCGGAGGGTAACACCGCTTCGAAAACCGCGGGGCGGCGTCCAGTGAGGCTGCGCCTGCGCCTGACCCGCGGGGCGATTGGTCTTCGCTGGTTCCGTTGAGCCGGAAGACGAGTGCACGGGCGTTCCTGTCGGTGGTGGTGACATTTCGCGAAGAAGCTGCTGGCCGAATGCCTGCTTGAGACGATGTTTACAGGGACGTGTCCTGGAATACCGTAAGGGTCAGCAAGAAGCCAAGCAACGTAAACACGTGAACACGAAGCACTAAACCAGGGGCGCCCGGGCGGCTCAGCGGTTCAGCCTCTGCCTTCGGCTCAGGTCATGGTCTCAGGGTCCTGGGATCGAGTGCAGCAGGGGCTCTTTGCTCAGCGGCTCCGCCCCCCCGCTTCTTTATGATCTCTGTCAAATAAATTAAGTCTTTAAAAAAAAAAAAGTAAAGCATTTTTGAATGAAAAAAAATATAAACTTGAATGAATTTCAAAAACATGCTGAATGAAAAAAACCAGAAAGTCATTCATAAAACTATTTTGTTGCATTCCGTTTATATTAAATTCTGCAACAGGCAGAATTACATCAATAGAAAGTACATAATTGTTGTCGAGCAGGGAAGGATAGGTTGACTGCAAAGGGATTGGAGAACATTTTGGGATGATGGGAATGTTCTCTACCTTGGTTGTAATGGTGGTTGAGTGGGTGTATTTGTCAAACTCATCAATACACACAAATTGGATGTGTTTTATCACGTGTAAGTCCGACCTACTGCAATAAAGTATTTAAAAAAATTTTTTAAGATTTTACTTATGTATTTATTTGACAGAGAGATGGCACACAAGCAAGGGGAGCAGCAGAGGAAGAGAGAAAAGCCAGCTCTCGGCGGAGCAGGGGCTCTATCCCAGGATGCTGGAAACATGACCTGAGCTGAAGGCAGACGCTTTACTGACTGAGCTACCCAGGCACCCCAAGTATTTAAAATTTTAAAAGACAAGTTGCAGAGGAATTCAAAACATTTTTTCCATTTGTGTAAAGTTCAAAACCAGGCAAAGCTAAACATCTTGTTTAGGTTGATGTGATAAACAGTAAAGAAAAACGAGGTTGACAAATTAACATTGGGGGTTGCATTCAATCAGGGATAGGCATGCAAGACTTCACAGTTGCTGGTAACATTATAGTTCATAAACAGGATAGTGGATGTAGGTGTTTATCTTAATGATTTTTATGATTACTTAAAATGTACGTAACCCATATTCCGTATATAATTCACAGTGGAAGTTTCTAAAATGGCAAGAAGTGGCACCTGGCTGTCTCAGTCAGTCAAGCCTCCAACTCTTCAGCTCAGGTCTTGAAATCTGAGTTCAAGCCCCACATTGGGCTCCACACTGGGTGTAGAGCCTACTTAAAAATAAGTTACAAGAAGAAAATCTGTTGGGGCTCTGGAACCCTCATAAGTAAGAGAGATGAGCTTGGAACTATTAACAGTGGTTGCTTCTGGGTAAGTGAGGGCTGGCTTTAGAGCCTTTTGTGAATTTTACACCATGGGTATGAATTACCTACTTAAAAGAGTTAACATAGGGGCGCTTGGGTGGCTCAGTGGGTTAAGCCTCTGCCTTTGGCTCAGGTCCTAATCTCAGGGTCCAGGGATCAAGCCCTACATTGGGCTCTCTGCTCAGCGGGGAGCCTGCTTCCCTCTCTCTCTCTCTGCCTGCCTCTCTGCCTACTTGTGAACTCTGTCTGTCAAATAAATAAATAAAATCTTTAAA